CAAAAGGTTTTGATATTCCTATTTTCATTCAGTTCAAAATAATTTCTACCTTCCAACAGGTTACTGGGAGGTACATTCTTTAACTTCCAAATTTCATAATTTTTGTTACTAATTTCTCATTTAATTGTGTTGCAGACAGCCTTCTCTATATGAGTCCAACCCTTTGAAATTTGTTAATGGTTTCTTTATGGCCCAATATATAGTTAACTTTGATAAATGCTCCACAATCACCTAGAAGTAATGTGTATCTTGCAGTTGTTGTTAATTCCGTGTTTTATACAGGTTCATTAGATTAAGTGTGTTAGTTGTGTTGTCCCAATCTTCTATATCCTTACTGATTTGGGGGTGGGGCAGGGAGAATGTGGGTGTATGCTCTCATTTACTGAGAGAGTTGTATTAAAATTTTATATGTGGATTTCTGCTTCTGGTCAAGATGGAGAAGCTACCATTTTACCCTCCTGTCTGAAACAACTGAAAAACTAGACAAAATGTATAAAACAATGCCACTTAATACCCTGGACACCAGGCACTGAAGGACAGTAATCCTTAAGAGCATAACAAACAAAAGGGTGAGCCCTACACCATGGTCCCAGCTCACTGCCTGGAGAAAATTTCCAGGAGAATATAGAAAATTCAGAAGATTCTAAAACCTGTTGGGATTAATAAATGAATTGAGCAAGGTTGTTATATACAAGTCATTATAAAACAATTGTATTTCAATACTCTAGCAACAAATAAAAGACCTAAAAAGACACTTCATAAAAGACAGTATCCAAATGGCCAGTAAGCATTTGAAAAGATGCTTAGCATTATTAGTAATTATAGAAATTAAAATTAAAACCACATAAAGATACCAGTACATACTCACCAGAACGCTTGGAATGAGAAAAATGAAAAATATCAAGTGTGGCAAAGATGATAGCAATGTCCCTTCTGTGAACACTTGGAAAAACAATAGGCTGACCAGGCTGCTGGAGAGGAGGCCTCTGGGCCTCTCTTATCTTGGTTTAACAAATTCTTCTTTTTTTTTTTTTTTTTTCTTGCGTTATGCGGGCCTCTCACTGTTGTGGCCTCTCCCATTTGCGGAGCACAGGCTCCGGACGCGCAGGCTCAGCGGCCATGGCTCACGGGCCCAGCCGCTCCGCGGCATGTGGGATCCTCCCGAAACGGGGCACGAACCCGCGTCTCCTGCATCGGCAGGCGGACTCTCAAGCACTGCGCCACCAGGGAAGCCCCAACAAATTCTTCTTGAAGGTAGTGAGACAGGGCTCACAGTTCCTGTGGTATACTTATGGACCACTATATCCTTTAATTGCAGGTTCTGGGTCCTCAAAGTCAGACAAAAACAGTAGCATGTATTAAGTTTCCTAGGGCTGCTGTTAACACATTACCAAAAATGGGGTGGTTGAAACAACAGGTGAGAAGACCAAAATCAAGATGTTGGCAGGGTGGCACTTCCTCTGGAGGCTCTAAGGAAGGAGCTCTTCCTTGTATCTTCTAGTTCCTGGTGGCTGTTAGCATTCTGCTGCCCACAGCTACAACTCTCTGCCGGCTTCACAGTGCCTTCTCCTCTGTGTTATCGTCCTTTGCCTCTCTAAGGACACCTGTGATAGCATTTAGGGCCCACCCAGAGAATCCAAAGTAATTGCCTCATCTCAGAATGCTTAACTTTAATTAAATCTGCAAAGACCCTTTTCAGTAACCTTTAAAGTTCCAGGGATTAGAGCTTGATATTTTTAAGTAGTTATTATTCAACCTACTACACTTGTGTTTAATATTTTCGAAATAAAGGAATAAACTAGTAACCGTGGAGAGATCAGGGGAAGGAGTGGCCCTGAGGAAACCTTGGTGCGTGTGTGTTGGGAGGGGGTAAACTGGGAGGAGGTAGAAGCCTTACCTAGCAGGGGAGTAATATTCTCTGGGTACAGAGGAGCGACTGGGAAACTTTACAAAGGAGTACTAAAGAAGAATTTCCCCCTTCTTTGCCAGGGTCCTAGGATCTGATCCCAATAAATAAATTACTGCACTTACATGTAAATGCACTTCCTGAAGGAGTGGGCAACAGGCATGCTGTGGTAGACCGAGCTAGCTGCCCATTCAATATCCATTCTTTCCTTCTTCACTGAAAAGAATACCACTTTTATTTGGAGCCATCCACTGTTCAGCTAAAAAAGTTCATTTCCCAGGTTTCCTTGCAGCCACTGGTCATGTGACAGTTTTGACTAGTGGGAGGTAAGCAGAATTATGAAAGTGGAGTTCTAGAAAAGCTGTTGTTTTGCTAATAAAAGGGCTACACATTTGCACCTTTCCTGCAAACCCTTCCTTCTTGAAGCACTGCGGTGATGCCCTCAGGTGTAAACATCAGAATCCATGAGACCGCAACAGAACTGTAGAATCCCCGTACCAGCCCTAAACAGTCTGCCAGTAGACTTTTCTGTTATAAAAGAAAAACAATCCAATAGGGTTTAAGCCACTGTTAAACTTGGTTTGTAGTTGAATACACTTTTAAAAAACTAAACAAAACAATTGCTAGGTGTTTCACAGATACCATAATGTCAACCATAATTGGACAATTCCAATTTCTCTGGAGACTTAAAACAAAAAATGCCTTCACACCAATGCAGGTCCCAGACTGGTCCTCTTGAATGACTGGGTATATAACCTGCTCCCATACATTAGCCATAAAGTGCAGAGAAGGTTAATTAGATTCTTTATTGATTCCACCAATGTATTAGTAGATATGATAATAGTAAATGGTACTTTTACATTCTCTTAACCAAAAATATAACAAATATTTACACTCAATAAAAATACAAAAAGCATACAGAGGCACTGTCTTTCTAAAAGACATAAGTTTAAGAGGTATCAAAAAATAGGAGACAAACATTGCTTGTTACAGGACACTTTACAATCACTGAATTGTGCAGTATAATTGCTATTTGATTATTATGACTGTGCAGTTTTGTATTTGTCCTTTGCTGATCAGCTCATGTTTCAATTTTAAAAGGTTAGGTACAACTGTATTCTGTGTATCAAAAGTAAAGAAGCCTTTAAAAAGCACAACAGAAATTAAAGATGAACTGGGGTTCAAGTTTAAATTTGAAAATGTACTGTGACACTGTTTTGAAGATTTATCCCTTTGCTATATCACATTTACGGTAATACTAAAGGGATACATCTACTTTAATATCACATTTTTTAGAAACGCATGTATCAAAATAATAATCAGAGTCTTAAATATACAAGGAAACTCTTTCTCCCCTTCTTTTTAAAGGGGAGAAAACACTTTATAAAAATTAGAATTGTTCCTGGATATCGCCATGATTACTGTCACATTTCAAGCCTAGGAGAGATTCTCAAGGTGGTTATGCAGATGATGACAATGTGACATCACCCTCAAGAAAAACCATTTAAAGGCTTTTTCTCCCCAAATATCATACTGCAAGTAACTATTTGGAGAAAGTAAGACTCTATTAAATTACAGTAAACCTTTATGGAAGTATATATTGGATTTACTAATTCTCCAAATCTTTCATTATGCAGAGATTTTTTTGTTGAAACTTATTATTTGGCAAAAGTTTGCAGTGAGGATTTACTGCTTCAATAGCCCTGGCAGATTCAGAGTTGTGGTACAATGAGGGCATAGATCTCTTCAGTATACTTATAAATTTATAAAATAAAAACAAACGGGCATTTTGAATTGGAGCAAGTATAGGTTAAGGCTTCTCTTGTTCTAGTCACGTGACAAACTAAGAGAAGGCAGGAATGTACCGTAAATTAGAATATAAAGATCAAAACGCCACGATTTTTTAAGGGATAAATACCTATCAAACTAGAAAGCATTTGGCTTTAGTTCTTGATCAATGTGATCAGCTGATCCAAACACTCACATTTCAAGCTACAGGAAACAAAGGCAGCTACAAGGTGCAAGTCCAAAACCACAAGCCTCTGACTCTCTGTGCAAGATATTATCCACAACATTGAGGACAACGATGGAGAAGGCTCCCATCTGGTTTGAAAGACCTGCTAAAAAAACAGATACTGTGCGAACAGCACATTTTTCCGGGGAGTGGATATAAAATGGTGAGAATAAATACCCAAACTGGATAAAAAGATGGTTGTAGCAAAAATATCTTTCACTTTGTTTTGCCCTGGACATGAAAATAATATTGTCTAAATCAGTGAAAGAAAAATTTATGATCACAGGACCACTGTTTATAGATCAAACCTTTACAGTGTGACTTTCAAGCCAGGATTTTTGATCCAGGTTACTTTCCATTTCAATGGGCCAAGAAAGCTATGGAGCCAACTAGCCTCATTCTAACATACCTGGGGTTAATTTCTAAGGCTTAAGTTTCGTATTTACAGTTTTTTGCCCATGGGAATTTTTCAGACATGCTATTTTTCCTAAAATGAAGAAATTATCATTTTGATAGAAAAGATGGACTACTGCCATTTACCAGTTGGCACTGATTTATGATATTAAAATGAAGGAAATAGGAGGAGGATAGAGAGAAGGAAGAGAGAGCTAGGAAAAAATGAGAACTTTTCAAAAGGAAGTAATAAGCCAACTAAATCCTATAAATTCACATATGGATAACCATTCAGAAGTAAACCTATTTTTGGCTCCAAGTTGATTTGGGTAGTACACATTAATGGCTTTGGCTTTTTTTTTTTTTTTGGTAGTCACAGAAGTTTATTAACCTTTCACTTGCCTTTACACTAAAAAACAAATGAAAAAATTTTAACTTAAGATGTAGAAAACATCATACTTAATCTTTTTTAAATGCGGAAAGTCTACCTCATCCAGTAAACAGTCAATGAAATTTTAATTAAATACTTAAGAGTGCCATGCCCAACAGGCTGTTAAATATATACATCTCCTTCCTCTCAAGGCCTAAAGTGAAAACCAAGAAATAATCACTTCCATAATTCTAGCTCCTCTTTCCCCGACAAAATTTTCAACCAATTATAGACCTTGGTGTGCTAATGAGCTTTACCTGCAGGCAACTGGGAGCTGCAGGGTTTATGAAGATTAAAAACAGCCTTGTGCTGTAAGATGGGGGTTGGGTGGTGGGTGCTGCAGAACACCGCATAAAGCTAAATTGATCTTCATGACTATACCGCCAAAGATAACATGTCCTTTAAAAAAACTCCATATCTGAGTTGTGAAAAATTTTAGGTATAGGTTTCTACGGAGTAGAACTGTCTAGAACTCATTCTCTATTTACTGGATTTATAGTTATAGCTACAGTTAGACAGAGAATGACTTTCACTTCAGTTGGTATACATGTTATGTAAGATAAACATTTCATTCTTTGGAAATTAGGGTTGCTACACACCCCATCATACCTCTTCCTTTTCCCAAGAGACTGCTAGGACCCTGTGGTAGCTTCATTTGGCTTTCCAAATCCTGACCAGCAGATGGCAGTATTCTCCTTCCTAACACCTCAACAGCAAAGGGATTCCTGTTCCACTCAAACTGAGACCCTACGTTTCGTTGTTGCTATAGATGGTTAACATCTCTGTATAGATCAAACATATCATCCTGCAAAGATGGCTTGAGTTTGGTCAGATCAGAGACAGTTTTATGGCCTCAAACATGAACATCAATTAACAAGAGCTCCCAAATACAAACAAAACCACAAAACTTCAAATAATAAGTTACTTTTCAAATACATAAAAATATCCTTGGTATTGGCAGACATTCTGAATTTGTCTGTTAACCCAAGCTATGGCTTGAAAATACTACCACTACTACTATCTTAAAAATAACATGTTAAAGGAAAATCTATAGTGATATATATGGGGAGGACTCGAGTTTGAATTTGTTCTAGTAACTGTGGTCCCAAGGCAGGTCTGGTGTGCAAAGCGAAGACTGGTATCCAGGCACAACATCCATAGCTGAGGAAACTATGCATCTGCAGGGATTAAATGAAAGGAAGCATGATTCAGGGCTATCTCATTGCTCAGAGTACAGGGATTAAAACCTCTGGGTTAGCAGCAGGAGCAGCGAGCTATTTGTTGGCAACGGCCTGCAGAATTGTGAGTTGGTTCTGCCCACTCCTTCCTCCGTGACTTTCAGTAGACTTCAATCAGGTCAATCCAAAGGCTACACTGCTGAAACCTGTTCATTTTCTGAAAATAAAAGAAACACAGTTAAGTGGTAAGTCAGCATATCAATGAAGATCAACTAACAATCTAGTTATCTGTTTAAAAAATTAGTCAATTTCAACAAAGAAATCCTCTCAAATATCCCATCAAAGCCAGATTTTATTGTAATGACATTTTTGAGTTCTGATCACAATGAAGGCTGACAATCAACTGGAATTCAGAACTGCTTTTTAACCACTTTATTACTAGATTGTTTAGAAGGATGAAATTCATTTATTGCCAAAATTGCAAAGTTGGTCAAGAGTTCTGCTAATAAGAGGAACTCTATCAAACAGCATGATTTCAGATAATCTGACATTTTGATACTTGGAGTTTCAAGTGTCTGTGCATTAGTGTAAAACACAACTCTACCAATGTCAAGTGCCTCCTCTTAAAATTATCCTTTTACGCTGAGCTGCTATCTATTAAATACAATCAGCTTGCCCTCTCCATTTACAAAAAACACACCATCGTATTTAGGCATTTCTTTTTTAACAGAGATTTCTAAAGCAGTTAAAGAAAACATTTCTGATTATGTGAAATACCAGAGCAAAGACCATTCAATGTGTTTAGCAATTCACTTAAGAGCCATTAAGGTAGTTTGTCAACATACCATCTGCTTCGCTATCTGCGTCAGTCACATCTGCTAGTTTAGGATGGGATGGCTGCAAATTATGCCTCTGAGGATGAGTTACGATCTTCGATGGAACACAGGCCACAGGGTTGCTACTGACAGAAGCTGGTGGCAGTCTAGAGAGGCTGTTATGCATCATCTTTGACCTCTGCACTGCCACACTATAATCTGGAGGTTTTAGGTGTAGGTGGGGTCCTTCCTTTAGGTCTGCTAAAGAAATCCCCATGTATCCTGGAGGAGTGGGAGGTGGCTCCCTATACCTATCCTCCTTCTTGGGTGAGGTGACACAGTACACTGGCATGAAAAATAAGCAATGGAAATGTTAATGAAAAATATAAGAAATGAAAAAAAAACATACTGAAACTTATTACAATGACAGAACTTAAAAACTGACACAGTGAATATATTTGAACACAATGGCAGCAGGTTAAAAACACTTTTAATAAGCTTAATAAACTTGATAATTAAACTTGTTTTTAAAATACATAAATTACATTGGGTTTTACAAACATTAAATAGAATGAGACAGTTGAAGGAGATGACACTGATGACAAGCTTCCTCCTTTCACAGGTCAGACCACAAATCACAGAAGTGTGTGACAAATTCCTCAAGGAATACCAGCCCCAAAGGTGAATGAGTCAGAGACATTTAAGAATTCACCCAGAACATCTATACTCTATTAAATGGGGGGATTTTCATAGAAATGACATTTAGGCCCTCTACTTAAGGGCTATTTCACGTCAGTGCTGGCATAAAAACAACTTTAAAGAGGAACTGATTCCTTCAAGGACCTTATTCCTAACCTCTGCTCTGTGATTAAGTGAGAAGAAAAGCCATAATTTTAGGAAATCCATCTTAAATTAAGTTTCTCTGATTTACAGTGGACATTAAAAATAATGGTGACAAAAATCTTTTGCCCTAAGTTTGTACACCCTGGGTCTAAGGCAAAGCTTCAAAAAACATCAGAAATAAGTTAAAAAGGAAGTTCCATGAAATTAAGACCAATCCACAAGACTCACAGGACAAATGGCTCTGAGTATCTTGATCATGTAACTTTTAAAATACAAACACTATCTATATACAAGAAAAATAAATTTAAAAGGATCATTAAATTCTCCCCTTAGAGAATCAAGTTTGCCCTTATTGAAATTTCTACAACTCTACCAGTAAAATCTGCATGTAGTATCAAGGTCAGAAAGGATTTCCATTCCCATCTGAGGAGAATGGAGTGGGGAGGGGGTGGAGAGGTTGTGAAAAGAAGACAAGAATGAAGAATGTTAAGTGATTTGCCCAGAGTCATCTAGAAATGAACAAGAAAAATTTTTTTTAATCTATTTTCCCAAATGGATAAGAAGAGAAAGATTTTACATCCTTGCATACATGTGCTTGTATATCCATATAACAGTTACCCAAAAGGCTTTAATAAAAAATCCTTGGAAAGAAATGAATTAAAATTCCAACCTATAATGAAATTTGATGAGCAAAAAATATGCTAAAAAAAGCACGTGTCTTTCATATGTTTAGTAGTTTAAATTGACATCACAAATATAGTATAAAGAGTTGATTATAATAATATTGACTCAAAGTACAGTCACTCCACATGAAAAAATAACACAGGTGCTATTATATCTAAGTACTTATATAAACTCAAGAATAAGGAAAAAAATGTATTTGACGGCCAAAGATACTAAAAGAATACACCAAGAAAGCTGTGCACGGTTAGAACAGAATCCACAAACAGAAGCTGGCACACCCATGATATGGGCTAGGAGGGTATAATGAAAAATGTTTGGGTTTTTTTTTTTTTGGCTGCATCGCATAGCATGTGGGATCTTAGTTCCCTGACCAGGGATCAAACCCACACCCTCTGCAGTGGAAACGCAGAGTCTTAACCACTGGACTGCCAGGGAAGTCCCTGTTTTGGACTTCTTTATCACACTTTTTCCACCACTTGTACTACCTAAAAGTAGTATCTGATTCAAAGTTTCTACCATGTATGCAAAAAGCAAGTAGGGTCCAAACAATTTATGAGGTGGCAAAGAGAATAATCCCTTTATTACTACTGCACAGTAATGCAATAATATTTTCTTAATAAAACCAAAAAGATCTCAAAAGCAAAACAAGACATATAAACCTGTCCCCCTTATTAAATTCCTGCATGTCAGCTTTTTCATTTTAAATGGCTTGAATATCTGCCCCAAAGCTTTTGAGAAATCATGAACTTTTTGAAAATAATTTGCATGTGGAGGGAGGAAAGAGAGATTAGAGAAGGGAATTTTCCAAGAATAAAATTCTGGGCCAAGGTCACTTTACCACTTAAATTCTAAATGCCACAGATATGACAAAGAACACACAACTTACCAATCAAGCCCTTTTCTGTACTCGAAGTAACAGTTTTATAAACGGGGTCGATGCCGTCCTTGTGGTCCAAGCCTTCAGATGACTCAGCTGGGGTGCTCTCCAACACTCTCCGTTTAACTGTACCATAGTTTGGTTCGTATGTATCAGACAGAGAACTAGAGGAAGCCCAACTCTGCCTCATCTGATTAGTCTCTAGGCTTCCTTTACACTGACCACAAGTTCGAGAGCAGCCTGTAGGACAGGTACAGGGCTCACAGTCAGTGGGCTCAACTTCAGCTATGGGACCATCCAAATGGGTATGTCGATAAGAGTTCAAAAAATCCCAGCCTTTTGGGTTTGGAAGGCTTTGGAAGTTGTCATGGGAGCTGCTTGAACAGGAAGTCCAACTTCCACGACCACTATCAGCTGCTTCTATAATGATATGCTCGTGAGAAATCTCATCATTGCTCAGAGAAGATGAGACAGCTAAATTCTTGATTAGTGATGGCTTTGAGAGTGTCCACCTAAAATTGGAGATACACAATTAAAAGTAATTTACTAGCTTAATGGAAAAAATTTCTTCAGTCCATTGCAAGTGTTACTGCCTACAAGAGACTATAGAACATGCATCACAAGTGTTTAATGCCAACATAACCTTGTGGAAAAAAAATGACACTGTAATCAATCATCACTAAACTTGTACTGGCATTAATGTTAATACTTAGCTCGAAACATACACTGAAGAAACTCAAATACTTAAAAGGCTTCCTCAGAATTTTTCTTGAATTATTATGAAGGATGAGGTTTGAAGTGAATAATATTAAGCATACATTTTCATTCTTGGTCAACATAATGCAACACTAGATTCTCTCCATGCACACAGAATTAAGAATCCTCAATTACAGGAACCATGTTTTATTTTTCAGTGTCTCTGAGGTACCAAGGAAACAGCAACTTCCCCAATTACCTACTACTAAATGAATTCTATCATTTATAGCAAGGGTTCTCAAACTTAGTTTCATGGACCAAATCAAGCGAACAGCCTGTTTTTCTTATGGTCTTGAGCAAAGCATGGTTTTTACGTTTTAAAGGGTTTAAACAAAATGGAACAAAATACTCCAAAGATTTTGAGACAGAGACCATATGCAGCCTGCAAAGCCTAAAATATGTACTCCTTTAAATGGGCCTTTACCTGCCCACCCCCCAAAAGGTTTGTGACTCCCTGATTTATAGTACAGAGCATATAGAGCAGGGATCAGCAAACTAGAGCCCAAGGGCAAATCCAGCCCTCTACCTGTTTTTGTAAATAAAGTTTTATTGGGACACAGCATGCCCATTTGTTTACAAATTGTCTAAGGCTGTTTTGGTACAACAATAGCAGGGTTGAGCAATTGCAACAGAGAGCTTACAGCCAGCTATGCCTACAATATTTACTATCTAACTTTTATAGAAAAAGTTTGTTGACTCCTGGTCTAGAGAACCATAGTTTAGAAACCCTTACAAGTATGGTGATAATACTTCACTATATCTTAAATTTTTCATATAAAAGTGTACCAGATTTAACAGTATCAGTTTAGAATCAACTTTCTCAGTGCTTTCTGAAGATTTCCATTTTGTTTGATTCTAAATAGAAATTTAGAGTTAACTTTTTTTTTTAATTGACTTTTTGCTAGCTGATAATTCTTACTCTCCAAATCATACTTTGAGAGAGTAAGGATCAAGGACTAGTCCTACTCTCCCAATGTCTACAACGTGTATAGCACTGAGGGTACTTCCCATTACACACTCTTTCTGAGCAATCTCTAACCTTATAGCTACAATGCAAGAACTACTTCCCACCTACCAATAGCATCTTCACTTTGAGTTCTTATTGATCGAAAAGATACATGATGTAAGTTACCTGAATCCAGTAACACTTAAAAAATGAGCACCCATATATTTTTCAAAATAGTACTTATTTGCACATTCAGTATAGAGAATACATGCTTGGTTCTCCTGTTCTTTCAACTACCCCTTTGGTGGGGGTGGTTTTAGGTTCAAATTAGGGAGCACTGTTTGCAGGGGCCACTCGGCTTGGGTTTTGTGATGTGAACACAGGCAAGGATGTTTACCCAGGGCCAGGCTGACTATGGTCTCCTATCCCTGAGGAGTACTCTGTCTTTTCAAATGCTCCAGTGGATTCAGGGACTGCCACAGCCTGGGAGGAACACCGTTCATCCTGTAGAGCTGCAGACATGGAGTCAACAGAGCAATTGCTCACAATGCTGGACCGTGAAGAAATCTCACTATGGCTGGAGTCAGACAAGTTGTCAGATTTAGCTGATGGTATAAGTGTATAACCTGAATGAGAGAAGACAACTGATCAAACTACAAAACAAGGGAATGGGAGTGGGGAGGGTCAGGGAGAGGACAAAGAAAAATATGAAAAGAACAAAACATAAAGTGAGTATCAATGTCAATTTCCATCTATGTAGATGTAATGGTGCCGACTTTCTGTACATGTTCCTTTACATATCCATTCACCTACCTACCCACATGGCACCAATATAATTCCAAATTCAAGAAATAGAAAGTCAAAACCCAGTATTACTGAGAAAACTAGTTCAAAGGTAAACCTGCCCCAGGCTCTCACATAGCTACAAGCATTTAGTAAAACAAGAGGCATTAAATATATTACAAAACTTTAAAAAGTAGACATCTTGAACTTCTCAACTTCTTTTTAACCCTATGTCCCCTCCCCTTTGATTAATATAAATATTTCAATGACCTGAGTGTCCAAAACACGACCTCGAGGCAGGGGTATGTAAGGGGAGTCAGGACTCAAGGGAAAGAATTTTATTTTTGTTTTTTCAAACTGCAAATACCCTAGATATTTTGCTTCTGTCACCTAAGAAGTCTTGGCCCAAGTTAAAAGCCATTGTTTTAGAATTTTTAAATAAATTGTTTTAGATTTGGACTTACTCTTATACCTAGTTTCCTTTTTCTTCACCAATTTAGCAGAACATTACATTACAGAACATTACATCAGCTGTTTACAGCTGAACTGACAGATTTACAAGAATGTAACATGAAAAAACCCAGCATCTACCTGTTTTAAATTGCTCTATGACTTACTGCACAGCAGATATAGCTAGAGAGATTTTCTTTAGCATTCTCTGGAATGAAGGGGTGGAGATGGAGTAAGGTGGAAGGTTCCAAAAACAAATCTGCAGCATGATAGTTAATGTACACAATCGTCTGTTTGAGTAACTGTTAGAAAAGTAACCAAACTTCTTTTGTTGAGAAATAAAGAAAATGCTGTAGTAATCCCAGCAAGGAGTAGGTCTCAAAGAAGTAAACAATTATCTTCTTGTTCACTGAGAGAAGAATGAGGTTGATTAGGTGCATGACCTTTGGGTCCATTCCTAGAAATCTCAAGAAGAACTATAGGCTTTAGACTCACATATAGCTCAAGTTATTACAAAAAAATTGTTGAATAATAACTTTATTAATTAGTGTCATTAACTATTTCAAAAACAAAAATTAAGACTTAGAAAATGTGTGATCTGCATTTGGCTTTTGTGCCAGGCACAGGACAAGCCAAGGCAAGCCAGTCTCTTGACTCCTTCTTCAGTTCTCTGATCTTGGGATCACTGCTATTTCTCAGTGCCCTTCATGAAGTGATTTGGTCAATTTTCAAGAGGACCAAGAAAATGGATGTGGTAAATAAACTAAAAAAAATTCAAAAATTCCTCCTCAAAGAAAAAGTCATTGTTCTTTTATCCTGGGGGATAGACTTGCTTTACTGTTTTAAAAATAATTTCATTCGATTGTCTGTTAGATCAGTACTTGTCAAATATAATTAACTCTAAGAATCACCTGGAAGGCTAATTAAAATACAAATTCTTGGGCCTATTTCTGGCCATTCAAATTTACAAGGTCTGCAGTGGGACACAGTAAGTTTTTAACAAGTTTCCCAGATGTTTTTGAACCTGCTATGTTAGACTATCTCCTCCCTCCTCTGATCAGAGTATATATGAAAAGTGGATGATATAAAAAAGTTTATGTGGACAAGATACAGTTTCTTACCTTCCAAACACTTCACTTTAGCTTGTAAAGTAGGTGCAATAATAAGATAGCAACACAATTATCTAAGGCAAAGGTTCTGATCAGATTGTTACTGGGGGATTTAATGTAAAAGTAAACACTGGTTCCTTAAAAGCCTCCTCTACTTATTGCACTCACAGACCCAACTGCTACCAGCAGGAAATAAAGCCAACTACAGAAAACAAGAGTATTAAGTTTACTAACATTAGCAAAATAACATATGTACAAATAAGGCACTTTAAACGGATATGATTTTGTTGTTGGAGGACCTGTAACACTAATCATAAAATGCTCATAAATAGTATTTTAGTAAGTTGTCTGTCTGAGCCTTATTTGACAAATGACTTAATTTAAGCTACATTTACATTAATAAATGAAAACAAATTTCACACTAAAATAAAGTAAGGAACTTCATCAGAGTGTCTTTCTCCTTTTAGACTTGAATCGCGTATAGAAGCAGTTTAAAGTGTTACTGTTGCCTCGGCTATTTGAATTGAAGATGTCATTCCCTTTCTCATCTTTGATGTTGCTTCCAACATCCTTCACTTTCTCACAGCTTTCTGTAGCTTGATTGAGATCTGCGTCCTCTTTTTTGCTGTTGGCTAGTCTCTCCCTTGAAAGAGTTCTTTCCCTAAATCTTCTAAACGGGGATGTCATTCTTTTTCTGGCTGTGTTCTCACAACTTGTCCTGTCTCTATTCTCCTCAGTGGCCTTCTCGGTCCTGTCTGTTCTTTTGGCTGTGCTCCTGGTAATCTGTTGGATTTTCTTTTGCAAGTAAACCCCACCTATTCCGGGGCAGCTGTGGCCACTGATCTTGGTGCTGGACTCACGGGGAGGGGATGAGGAAGACCCTGAGAGGCGCAGCAGGATGCTGTGATCAGATATGATACTGCCAACTGGAGGGAGAGATGCAAAAACCCTGTCATGGTCAATTAATTCTTTCCAATGAATCACAATTAGCCTGGTTTTATAACATTTCACTGTTAAAAAATTCTAACATCTTGACAATATCTGAAAAATTGAAATCTAGCAACATATTTTTTAATGCATGGAGACTCTACTATATAGCATAAACAAGACAGAACACAGGAGAAAGGTTACCTTGATCAGAATAAGCTGGTAATAAAAAATTGCTGAAAGTAACCCAAGCTGGTAAAATCATAAGCCAAAATATGACAAGAGTATCAAATAACCAGAATTATTTCTCAAAGTAACTATGTCTAGAATTTTCAGGTGGATTCTACTAAGAAAAAGCTTAGCAAAAATCAGATAGGACATATAAATAGTATATACAATAGATGTATTTATAAAGCACAATTTCTGATCCTTTTTTCTCTACAAGGCAGAGACGTTGCCTGCCTGAAGCATTGGGGAAGATATAGGTTAAGGCCTCCTGATGTCTCACTTTTTCAGTTCTTTCTTGTTTAAATTCTCCTTTTAAAAATCGCGAATGTAGGCTTATCTTCTTAACTGTTAGAAAACAAAGAACTATTCCAAAGTATACCAAGAACTAGAAACAGATTCTAATAACATACTCTTAATGACATTTTTGTTCAATCACGGACCACTGGCAAAAACCTGTCTATGGAAATAAACAAGCAGAAATAGTTTTGAAGAAAAGAATTTTGTCAGATTTCTAAGGATTCAAAACATGACTATGACAGGCTCACAAATCTCTAAACATCATGGTCAACTGTCGGTCACATACTGAAAGACACAACAGAGAAAAGACTTCTCTATTCCAGTGGTTAAAATGCATTTGTTTGGAATAAGAGCAATGGGGAAATTCCTGTTCCTAACACCTCTTCCCACAAGTCACACTGACCCATAAAACACCAAATCCAATTCAACTAGTTTCCTGGTTAGAGAACTGTCTATAATGGGACCTCTGGAGGGTGTAAAGATGTTCCTGAAAGAGCATTAAGAGCATATGGACATTGTTCATCTGGACCATCTGTGTGAATAGGCACTGTTCCCAGCCCCAATCCTTGGGACCTGATAAAGGGTACTCTGGATAGGATACATACATAGTAAAGAGATGAAAGATATCTGTGTGCCTTCCCAAATCATATATGAGCTGTATACAACAGGAACGGAAACCTGTGTTTTACAAACACATCTATTATGTATACTTTTATATGTCCTATTCGATTTTTACTAAGCTTTTCTTAGTAAAACCTGAATGAAAATTCTAGCCAGTCTCAGCTAAGTGAACAGGGTCAGTAATGGAGTTATACTGCCCTGGAGTGGCAGCAGGGAAGAAGAAGAGAAACTCCGATTTACTAAACACTCACCATGTCTCAAGTGTTACAGATATTATTTCATTTAATCCTTAAATAAGGTCCTAAAATAGGTGGTCCCTAACCCATCTTATAGACAGGAGACCTGACCTTATATAAATCAGTTGCTTGTAATAACACAGCCGCCACCAGGGACAGAGTCAGGATTCAAACTAAGGCCTGGCAGCACTGTACCACTCTGCTGTCACATAGTCAGCAAAAATAAAAAAGAACCCTCAAAAGTGAGGGAAACTTAGAGCACAGGAACTGAGGAAAGCTCTGGAAGCTTCTCCTTCCTGCTAGAATTCGTTAGCTTAACTTGTCTTCTCTCTGACCATGTACCATTCTGTACTGTGTTTATTCAAGGATGTAATTTTTTACATCTGTGAAATGCCATGACTAAGGAGTCTTTTTCGCCAGGGTACACGGGGAATGTGGAGGGCCAATGTAAGAAACACACACATTATTTAGAATGCTACATTTGCAGCTGACATGAAATGGCATCTTACATGCATATTACCCAGGCTAGTCAAAAAAAGAAAAGCTTCAGTCTGAATTAGGAAAACATAGATAAATAAAGAAGAGCAATTTCAGATTTTTTAATTCAAAAGGTTTTACATTAGCATAAATGTAAAAATCCACAAGGGTGCTGTATAGGTTATAAATCCTGATTAATAAAAGGTAGTAACACTCCATTACTAAAGAAAGGAATGTATCAGCCTAAATATTTGTTTCATTTCCTAAATCTTGTAGTTGGTTAAAAACAATTTCTTGTAGACATTCCTATTTTAAAATACTCCATAGAACTGTTTGAATTAATTGGTAATTTGAATAACATCAAGAATTTGCACAGACCAAAACAACTGTGAGTTCTGCCTTCATTCTTATCTATACTTGTCCTCCACCAAAGAAGGACCACACTTTGAATGCAGGAGTCCTAACTCCATGATGCATAACACCTGAAGACCATATAAATAACACAATCCAAAACATGAAAATTCAGGAAGTATTACCAGTTACACTTTTCTTCACATTTTCTATTATTACCATAGACCAAAAGCAAAATATGTGCCACGTAATGTTGTTTGGCGTAACAAGAACTAGCTTGAACTATTTTATCTTACCTTTGCGAGGGGAACCTTGAGGAGATGCAGGAGGACTAGAATGTAAGGATGACGCCATAGAAATAGTGTCTTCTGTATGTTTCTTACCACTTATTTCTTCAGTTGTTCCTAAAACTTTCTGAGGTAAACTTGTACCTAAAAATAAAATCAAAGAAGCAAATAAGTATCACTTCACAATTAAAATGTCTGCAGTTGCCTAAATTACTATATAACTAAAGCCATGATGCACAATGGCTAGTGTAGTTAACTGAAATGTATAAATGACAAACGGGGACTAAATGACTGGGTAATGGCATACAGAGATTCTCACCTCCAGGTTATTTGTTCACATTCAGCCAGTCAGCGCAGATCAGATTATAATAGCTTTTTGTTTGTTTTGTGGCATAAGGGATATTGATTTAACAGTCTGAGTACAGTGTCCCACTCCACACAACTGACACACTTATTGGAAATCTTAATAGAGAAGGCATGGATTCAAACTCTTCCCTCCCCTCTAGAGGTGGCCTCTCCAAGTCAGGGCAAGGCATGTGGCAGGGGCAGTGTAGGGATGTTGGCACTGTCACTACCTGTGGTGCATCTGTGCTGTGGGTATACAGAAGCTGCAGGGCTGCCAGTCCAGCCCTTTTCAAGAGCACTAAATTCACACTACAGGAGAGAAGTAGACAACAGAAAGAATCATGAAGTTATAGAAAAATAGTATGGAGTCCACTGGAAACATTCCTGCAAAGTTCTATCATCACTCTTGTCCAACAGCTGGTCCTTTTTAGCATAGGTCAAACTTAGCAATGCTTTCAAATACACGTATTTTTACAAACATCCTCTCGAAAAAATGTCAAAGAGGTATTGACACTGTTTTTAACCAGTAAAGTAAGCCCAACTTTGATGAGTACTCAACTTTGATGAGTGTCAGCATAGTAACAAGCAGCCCTTTGATACTGAAAAAATTTAAAACACAGTATACAAACACTACTCTTAATTAAGTGCCATTTTAATATAAATAAATTTATCACATAAATCATAGTCGTATTAGAGCAAAAGGGAAGAGGGCTACCTGGCACAAATAACACTGCCTCTCAAGTGATGACATCCAAGTAAGAAATCAGAGCTAGACTTGTCCCATGTCTCACTCCTACCACAAAATCAACTTCCCCCATTTTGCATCCAATTCTCTACTCATTTCCACAGACACCAAACTAGATCAGGCTCTAGGCAACTTCCCGTTGCTACATCAGCTTTCCACTAAGGCTCCCTATCTCCAATCTCACAGCCCTTCCTACTATAGACCTCCTCCAACATAAACTAGACCATAACCTTGCCTTGCTCAAACTGCTTTAACAGCTACCCACTGACAACTTTCCTCTAGCATGTCATGTTATAATTTTGGCATGTCTGTAACTTCACTTCTCTTCATCCTGGGACACTGTTTAGTACTGTGTTAAAGTAAGGATTTTGAGCCAGTTAACCTGGGCTCAACTCCCAGCTCCATCTCTTACTCGTGGTGTATAAGTTACTTAGACATTCTATGGTTCCTATGTAGAATGAGAGTATTATCTATCTTTAGGGTTATTATGAAGATCAAATGAACATAAAATATAAAGTTAGTAAAACACTTAGAACCGTGTCTGGCATTCATTAAGTGCTCCGTAAGTGTTAGCATTAATTATTATTGTCTCTCAACACTCTACAGCTTTGTCCTCAGAGGCAGCAAACTGCCTGTAGCTCCTTGTAGATATCAAATTCTTCTTCTGCCTGAAGCAACTTCTCTGGAATTTTTGCCTAATTACCTCCTTTCTTATCAACCTTTAAGACTCTGCTTAGGTGTTATCTCCAAAAGGCCTTCTCTGGAGTACTATCTTACCTCTGTCTACCCTAAAAGCTCTCCCTCTTCTGTTCTTTTATATGTTATGTACATGCTCCTGGCATAACAGTGAACACATTACATATACTGATGTTATCTATTTGTGTGAATGTCTGTAACACCAGACTGAAAATCTGGCAAAGGAAGGGGCATTTTTTATTCAACTTTGGATTTCAAAACAATATCAAATTAAATTCACAAGGTTCTACTGAATATGTCCTATGTATAATGCATGAACTAAATAATAAAGTTAGGGACCAAATCTAATCTAGCTTCCCATTTGAAAGCTAAAATAGTGATACTGTTAAAACAACAAATGAAAGTAATTTGGACAACATCTACATGGCCTAACAGAGGAAAAAAAGCATGGTCTATACTTATATATTTTACACTTGCTTCTTGTCCCCAAGCTAGGTTTTCAGAAGTGGTCATTAATGAAAAACCAACAAACCGTCTTTTTTAGAAAAAAGCAATTTCATTATTTTTAGATGCAGCAATTTCATAGGCTGCATCTGCATTAGATAATTGAGTAAATGCACCACTAAATGCAGTAAGCCCTTGGTACCCAAATATACTGCTGTACGTTTCTGGCTGATACGATTACAGGAATTCCAACATCAATATTTAAAATATGCATGCAGTCATTGAATACAGCAAAATGAAGCACTAGGCGCCTATAGGCAAAATGAAGCATTTTTTGACTCATGAGTGCTGATTATATTACACAAACTACAATAGCTGATCTCCAAAGCATTTATATTTGTAATTATTTTCCATTTTCACTCGCCTGAAAATTTCAATTAAATGAATGCAATATTAACTGTGAATACTCACTCAGTGTGGCAGGGTCTTTTGCTTGTCCCTTCTTCCTGATGGGGTGCAAATTTACAGCTGGCACCTGAAGCACCTGGCTCACTCTGTGGGGCTGATGCAAATAGGCTTTAGCTGCTTGGCCAGCTGACCTCACAGGCACTGGAGACATTTCTGATGACTTGACTGATCTTTTCTCACTTAGATTCTTGGTCACTAATAGAAGAGAGTAAGAAATACATAATTCTGCACTTTTTAAGGCAAGGTTATTACCACTGACAATAGTACACGGCTCATTAAAATCACCTATTTTTAACACAAAAAAGATTAATTTTCCTAACAAAAATTTCATGTATTATGTTATTTCAAAAATTTTGTAGAATTTTACTCCCTAAATTAAGATAACAGACTTAATTAGCTCCATCTGCACCATCATCCTAATGGCCAAGTTAACATCCTCTCATCTATATATATATTTTTTTGACAGATCCTGCCTCAGGTTTATTTCTACAAATAACACAGGATGACACCAGTCCCATGCAGACAATACCCCAGGGGTCACATCAGTCCTTCTGTCTTCGTATTAGCGACAGAAGAGCCTTTGTTGGTGACTAGGCCACCTTTGGGAGCCAGAGCCAGAGTCACAGCTGCATCCCGTGCCCTGATTTCAGCCTTGGCCTCTGGCCAGCGGAGCCCGAGACCCTTGGTGATGTGGGAATGAGCACATTTCCCTGAACCTGGGGTGAGTGATGTAGTCAAGTCAACTGAGCTTGTGGCTGCTGCCCTTCGCAATCTGGGCTTGACCTCCTTGGGCTTTATAAAAGCCTATATAGCCTTGGCAGGTACACTCATGGCCTTGGTGTTTTTGGCCAGCATCTTCCTCAGGTACTTCTTGTCATGCCTCTTGGCAAACCTAATGTTCCTCAGGAACTTGGAGTCCACCCCCTTCAGAGATTCAAAGCTTTGTGATCAGGGTTTCTTGATGCCATTTCTGTGCCATGTATGGGATCTGCTGTTCATGGTGTGGTTCCTGAAATTGGCCATGTGTGCACCAAAGCCCCAAAGCACTTGGAACCCAAAGAGCTAGCATCTTCTCATTTATACTACTGAAATACTCCCCTCACTGTATCAATTCTAGCATGCCTTCAAGTCATTCTCCATACAAGAGTGCAATGACTCTTCCATCATGAAAATCTGATCACGCCATTTTCTTTCTAAAATTTATTTTATTTATTTATTTATTTATTTATTTATTTTTTTTGCGGTACGTGGGCCTCTCACCGCCGTGGCCTCTCCCATCGCGGAGCACAGGCTCCGGACGCGCAGGCCCAGCGGCCATGGCTCACGGGCCCAGCCGCTCCACGGCATGTGGGATCCCTCCGGACCGGGGCACGAACCCGCGTCCCCCGCACCGACAGGCGGACGCTCAACCACTGCGCCACCAGGGAAGCCCTATTTTATTTATTTTTGGCCACGCTGGGTATTCATTGCTGCACGCGGGCTTTCTCTAGTTGCGGCAAGCTGGGGGGACTACTGTTCGTGGCAGTGCATGGGCTTCTCACTGCGGTGGCTTCTCTTGTTGCAGAGCATGGGCTCTAGGCACGTGGGCTTCAGTGGTTGTGGTGTGCAGGCTCAGGAGTTGTGGCTTGAGGGCTCTAGAGTACAGGCTCAGTAGTTGTGGCGCATGTGCTTAGCTGTTCTGCGGCAAGTGGGATCTTCCTGGACCAGGGCTTGAACCCGTGTCCCCTGCATTGACAGGTGGATTCTTAACCACTGTGCCACCAGGGAAGCCCTATCGTGCCACTTTCCTTCTCCAAATGCCCTACACAAACTTTTAGATGACTTGCCACTGCTCTCAGGATAAAGACACAAATCCCTAAAACAAGGTCTATTAGACCCTGCATGATCCAGCTTCCCTAATAACCCACACTCTGCAGCTACTAGATTAGATCCCGTTTTATGTTCTCAAGGCATCCTGTATCCTTCCTTCACAGCACTGATAACTGTTAACGATACAATTGTCTGTGAGATTAATCAATTAATGTCTCTTCCACCCACAAGGCTATAACTAACATGATTGTAAGGACTGTTTACTTTGTTCACTACTATATCCCTGTGTGTCCAGTGATGGATAGAAAACAGAGGCTTAACAGGTAGTTGTTGAATAAGTAAGTGAAACTATTTCAACAGCTATACATAGGAATACCAGAGATATTTATAAGTAGATGGTTACTATACTTGAAGATGAACATCAGAATTAAAAACTGAGAACTCTTGGGCTTTCCTGGTGGCGCAGTGGTTGGGAGTCTGCCTGCCAATGCAGGGGACACGGGTTCGTGACCCGGTCCGGGAGGATCCCACATGCCATAGAGCGGCTGGGCCCGTGAGCCATGGCCGCTGGGCCTGTGCGTCCGGGGCCTGTGCTCCACAACGGGAGAGGCCACGCCAGTGAGAGGCCCGTGTACCACAAAAAAAACAAAAAACTAAGAACTCTGACTTAAGAAACAAAAAGCTGCCTCCTCTGTATAAAATCAATACTGTAGTCCAAAGAAAAAACTTCTTCCTTCAGGTAGTATTTTTAGTACTTTTAATTCTTCAGGCAGTTATTCAGGGTGGTTTTAATGCATGTCCAACCTCAATACTCCATGATATTTTTGTTTTTTTGCGGTATGTGGGCCTCTCACCGTTGTGGCCTCTCCCATTGCGGAGAACAGGCTCCGGAAGCGCAGGCTCAGCGGCCATGGCTCACGGGCCTAGCCGCTCCGCGGCATGTGGGATCTTCCCGGACCGGGGCACGAACCCGCGCCCCCTGCATTGGCAGGCGGACTCTCAACCACCGCGCCACCAGGGAAGCCCAATATTTTTGTTTTAAACACCAAGATAAAAGTGTTTAACCTGTCCCAGCACAGCTACAATAGTTAGCTACTATGCTTTTATTATCAGAACCTAGAGAATATTTTGGGTGATAAGAATACCTCAAAAAGTCAAAGCAAAGTGCTCCTGGGGGATAATAGGCAGTAGCGCATCAACTGACTAAATCCAAGATGTTACCAACTTTTGGTTAGAGCCACGAAACATTTTCCCCCCAACACTATCAATTCCGTATTGACATCTTATTTTAACAGTTGCCATAGTACAAAGAAAAAAATCAAGAGACTACTTTGATTATAAAAAAAGAGGTCACAGGTGAGTGCCAAAACTCACACATATATACTTATTATGAAGAACCAAATTCTATAATGTTTGGCAATCAACTATTATTTGGGTCTGGAATTTATTTAAACATTTAAAAATCAATCATGCAATAAAAATCAAAGACTCTCAAACTAAAATAAAGCAACATGAATTGAATTAAATTTTCACAAAACAGTTTAACTTTCAGTTTAAGAAAGACCCACAGGTTTTCTCATTTTAAATCAGTATTAAAATCAATGGTAGTGAGACACCATTTAGTGTTATGAGAAAAGAAGTAGATAAGTCTAAGGTGGGTGTGAGAGGAGAAAGGTATCGCAGGTGTGTGTGAATGCGTGGTAGGGGGAGGAGAGAGAGAACGCAGAGGCTGGTATGTGGGATCTTTCTAGGAGTCAAAAAAGTTTTTTTAATTAGTTAGTTATTTGGCTGCGCCGGGTCTTAGTTGCAGCACACGGGATCTTCGTTGTCGTGTGTAGGATCTTTGTGCAGGATCTTCATTGTGGCATTAGTTGCGGCATGCATGTGGGATCTACTTCCCTAACCAGGGATTGAACCCAGGCCCCTGGCATTGGGAGCACCGAGTCTTAACCACTGGACCATCAAGGAAGTCCCTAGGCCTCAAAATTTTAACAATGAGCAAAGCATAAAAAAGGTTTCTATGCTTCTAAATATTCCAAATCATATTTGAACAAATAAAAGCAGATAGTGAAAACAAAAGATAAAATAAACAACCTTCGGGCTTCCCTGGTGGCGCAGTGGTTGAGAGTCCACCTGCCGATGCAGGGGACGCGGGTTCGTGTCCCGGTCTGGGAAGATCCCACATGCTGCGGAGCGGCTGGGCCCGTGAGCCATGGCCGTTGAGCCTGCGCGTCCGGAGCCTGTGCTCCGCAACGGGAGAGGCCACAACAGTGGGAGAGGCCACAACAGTGAGAGGCCCGCGTACCGCAACAAGAAAAAAACAAAAAAACAACCCCAACCTTTTATCAGACAAAAGCAGGAATAATAAATTGCATCCAGTAACCATAAGATGATGAAGTCTATACTGCATTACTTGGGAAAAAATAATTTTGATGATCATTCAAAGCAGCGTCAGAGATATTTAATAAGTGTGTATATGGCTTTGAACTTTAAAACATGAATAAAATTTGAAGATTCTATATACTTTTTCAGTCTTTACTTTTGACATTTACCATTTTCTCATAGCAGACACTTCTTGATATCCCACCAGGTGGTAAGAAATTTTTCCAGATACTTTCCAAGTTTATATACATTTATTATTTTTAACAGCCATATATCATTCTTCGTATTGATAAGGAAGCAGTGTACTTAACTATTCTCTAGTGTTTTGATATCTGTGTGAGTTCTTTCTCCATTGTAATACATGCTGCACAATCCCAATACTGGACACCTCACAGACTGCTGTGAGGAGGAGTAAATGGCAAGGTTTATAAAAGTGTTTAGCATGGTTGCTGGCATATAGAGAGCGCTCAGTAATTGTTAGCTTTCATTATTTTACTTCTTTCTCTTAATTTAATAGGTTTGATGTAGAAAGAATCTGAGATAAAACATAGTACCAATAGTTGCTTGAGTTTTACATTTAGGAAAACAAGAGATCTAAGATGAAGAGAAACTTGTTCAAATGGTAATAAATGAGACCCAAACTCTGTCTCCATCCTTTAGTAGGTGTTCTTTTCATCACAACCCATTCATTTTTCTATTGGTAAAAGTGTTCAAGATACTGTTTTTATAACAACACTTACTGAATGGCTCATTACCCTACATTTTAAAATTCACTGTGAATCTGAATTTTAAAATCAATACTTGGTTGTATTTCCATTTTATCTTTTCTACTCTATTGACATACTTTTTCGATCACTATGTAAATACTATATCATTTATCAATTTCAGGGTCAACCCATGATAATTACAATTTCCCCCTATCAATTAGGAACACAGAAATAGAAAAACTGAACCTTCCCCCTCATATATTCTGTCAACATTTAATCAAGCTCTATACATCATACTGGGATTTTTACTGGTGTAATATTTAATCATATATATAGATAGATAATACTCACTTATAATGGAAGTACAACCATCTTTATTTTGTTGTTATAACAAACACAATATATTTTACCATCTTTGATCTCTGCTCTTACAACTCATGATTTCCTTGACCCAGAGACACATACATTCTATTGTTTGTACTTAATTAAAAAAAAAAAAACAGTATTGAGAATAGGCTCTATTTTGTTCATCATATTTTCTATTTATAAATATTAGAATATATCTAATTTTTCTTGTTTTACTTTATTTACTGATGCCTATAATACACCTATTATCTCTAACAGTATATTAATTAAATTTATTGTATTTTTTCAGTTGGTAAATGATATTATCTGTAAAATTTTTAGGAAAGAGAAATTTTTTCACTTATTTTACTCTTCATTTAGGGATGAAGATCAGAACATTCTCAAAGAGAAGGGCTCCTCTATAATGTTTCACTTTTTTAAGAAGACTTTAAAATGCTTTTTAAAGAACTATATCACTCCATTTCTTGCACAGAGTAATCATCAGGAATGGATGAGAATTCAGTATCTGATTAACATTATCACATGATGCTTGAGGTATGTCAGTAAACTTTTGTGACTGAAAGTTAATTTTCTTGGGACTTCAGGATAATACTAGAGCAACAAATTTCTATTTTGTTGTGCTGTTTAGTGTCACGTAAGTGAAAACTTATACTTACAGGTACCATATGCAGGCTCCCATTGCAATGACATCATCTGGAACTTCTCCTCATCTGTTTCTACATCCAGACTGGAAAGATACTGCTTCACTTTCCTTGCCATTTGGGCATCTTCGTACAGCTTCTTAGCATTAAGCAGAGAGCTACGGCGTGCCTTTTTTTTGTGAGCACCTCCCTGAACATCCAGCATGTTTGAATTTGTGCTGCCTTGACTCAGTGACCTGTAAGAAGATGGAGATCACAATAAGGGGCTGTAAAGATGAGAATTAAGTATGGCAGATTGAAAATTAAAAGAATTCTGTTCTGTTAATGCAACTGCATGCTGATGCAAATGAGTTAAAAGATGAAGAGCATTAATGCAAAGTAATATGGTACATATGGCAATGTTCTGAGTTTTCAGATTCAGCAAAGTTCAGAATTCTAAAGAATAAGTTAACAATTCCCCCCAAAGCAACAAATTCCATCAGACCTGTGTTTGGTGCCTTTGCAACCCATGGCACAACTGTGACAAGTATAAGCATTCCTTTGGCCCTATGGCCATCCACACTCTGAAGATATGGCAAGAGCCTAGTTCAGGACAAGTCCACCCTGAGCCAGATCTCTGCACCAGGATTCTTCAGCAGGGGAGTTTCTAGAGCAGCTTTGCTTGTACGTGCTGCTTTGGACATGCTATCGCCATCACCATTCTTGTGTATAGCTGGCCCACTCCAATCATGCTCACCAATTTTACCAGTAACCAGATTTTGACCAAAATTCAAATAGAACAACCAGTAAGAAAAATAACACCAGTTATACTCAATTCAATATAGTCAGAGATCAGAAATGCAATAAAAAGCTACTCATTGCTTCTACTCACATATGAAATGGTTGGGCAATATGTGGCTTCTGGACTGGGGATATGGGATCTTTCTTTTGCAATGCCTCTAAATGTGATGAAACTACAAGCTGGGTAGGAATAAGTACAATTGAAACAAGCTATAGCTTCACATCCAACTGTACTCTTTTTGGCAGACTTCTTTCTACAATAACCACATCCAGAACCACTGGAAAACAGGAACTGCAATGCTATTTGTCCTTTGTAACAAGGATAGCAAACACAAGGTTCTAGACAATTTTTATTTTAAAGGCAGTTGCCAATTCTAAAATAATAAGGATATCTATGGGTCTTCTAAGTTAGCCTCCCAATTACCCAAAGATATTCTAAATACACATACCATAACCATACAACAATTTGTTTTTTTCCGTGCTCACATTTAAAACAGACAACTAAAATCCTAATGTTTTCATTATAAATTAAGTGAAATAAAGTTGTAAAAAATGTTACTTTTCTTCTGTAATTTTAAGATCTTTAAAAGAGTGTGTCTTACATTTGATGGCAACTTTCAATTGCTACTGGTCAGGCAGAAACTGTGATGTGGTTGTTGCTACTTACATATGCAGAAACTCCTAAACTTTCAGAGTGGTTTGGAAAAAATCCAACCACTAATTCACTAATTCATTAGTGAATTACTCCCTTAACCTCCAGGAACCAAATGATTATAAGGATGTAGTGAATCTAACAAGTTCAACAACATTCCCAAAGCAGGTGTCAAAAGGATGTTAGCCCTAAATATCTGCAAAGCCAACCTAAGAGCCCAGCACCAGCAGCTTTTTGTTCTTTTATGGCTTGTTTTAAGAAGTGTGGCATTACCAACATATTTGACGGCACAAAAGGCAATACCGTGTGAGGAAAAAAAAAACCCAGAAACTAATAACTCTAAAAGTGATTCAGAAAATTCATATTCTAAATACGAAGAAGTTTTAGAAAGACCTAAACCAATTTATATTTTATATTTTCCTTTTTATGAATGCAAAAAGGTGTTATGTGATAAAAAAAACACATACCTAAGTTTATATAAGAGCTCTTTTAACAAGTATAAAGTTAAAAAAATTCTCAGTGTTAAGAAGGTACTGCAGTGACTTTTCTTCGTGGTACATAAAACAACAGTGGTCCCAACAACTGATGATGTCTCAGATTCAAAGAAATGTAGTAAAATCAAGTCCCAACATTTAGGAGCAAATTTGAATACAAGTATTTAATAATTTTATGTAAGTTGATATAAAAAAGTGTCCAGAAATCTAGGATACATAAAAATTTTAATAAGTGAAAATCTCATGATAAATGACAATGTCTTCTAAGCTACTTTCAAAATGCTTTGATGTAAAAACAAAAATATCTAGTGCCTGCAAACATCATACAAAGCAACCCTAAAGCTGAATAAATAGTGAAGGTGTTACATAAGTCATTCAAACACCCCCAAATCCCCACTAAGATATACTGTTCAAGTATTCTTCTTCATAACAGTAACGTTAGGAATCAATTTCTATCTTCAATGAGAAGAACCAGAAAAGACCAAGACATAAATGTAAAGTATAGAAGAAAACACAGGAGAAACACAGAGAAGGAAGAAAGCAGAAGAAAATTCAAGTTCACCAAGCTTCAACAGAAAACAAAAGACCACAAATAAGACAAGACTCAAAGTAAGTGGCTCACAAAGAATCCTTCTTATATGTAATATAAAAGCATCTAACTTCATGATTCACTATAATCTTAAAAGAGCAAAATTCTTTTTTGCTCATCCACAAAACCCATCTTTTTCTTCAACTAAAAATGAAAGGATCAGATAGATGATTTATAAGATCCCAAACATTCTATGATTCTACGTGGATACTTAGCTATCTATTACAGATCGGTAAGCAGAGATCTGAACCTACTTGACAACAAAAGGTGTTGTTAGGTCTGATTCTATTTCAGTTTTAAGAGAGATAAGGGAGTCTTTAATTAAAAGTGGTAGGAATTTAAAACTCAATGCTGTATGTCTCATGGTATTAGTGGATCTGAACAATTAAAAGCATCCTCTATTTCAATTATTTACTAACTCAATATTACAGTATACTTTGGATAAAGGCTGCACCCTTTCGGAAAACTGATAAAAAAATGTAACCTTTATAAACAACCTTTTACCCATTTTAATACACTTAAACATTTATTTTTATAAAATATGGCATGTGAATAAAAGAAAATAGTGTGGACTCTGGAATCAGACTACCACCATTAGTGAATCAGAATCCACCATTAGTGAGCTCTAGGAATTTGGACAACTCTATCTTCCCCATCTGTACCATAGGAATAACATTATCTATTTCACAGAGTGGCTGGAGAATTAAATAATTCATATAAAGTGCACAGAGAAGTATATGGCACATAGGAAGCACACAACAAATATATGCTATCATCATCATTATCTAACTGACCCTGCTAAATAAAATCTAAAAGGTACTTATGGGACGTCAACAATGGAAAAGTAAAGGGAAAAAAAGCTAGTTCTAACACTATTTTAACCTTGTTAGCAAAAGGCATTTATTTGTCAGGAATGTAGGTTGACAGGGTTAATACAACACATGCTATTTTACGTGCGTGCATTAATGAAAAGGATGCAGTATATGTTAACAGTTGCACAACCTTCATTCCAGTTGCATTCATCTCTACACTTACCCCAGACTCCGCCACCTCTTCTTCCTGTAAGCAAGAGCCACAAACATTGAAGCACGTGTTTGAATAGGAAAGCACAGAAAAAAGACAACAGTCGTGAGTCAGAGAAACTATGGAGACAGAACAGAAAAATTTTACTAGAAAAAAAAGGTAGCTTAACAGTAAAATGACTTTAATGGAATACAAGGGGGTAAAATGAATTATGATATGTACTGAAGGCCAAAAAACTCCACACTATTTAAAAGTATGCTTTTAGACCAATTATATTTTTAATACCTAATTCATTTAGAGGCTTATGTTAATAAGAAGCTTAAGGGAAAACATTTACTAACTATGAATTTTGAATTCAAAGTTTTCAGGGAAATTTTAAATTAAGGAATATGATCTTTTCAACATTTTTTTTTTAAAAAGGATTTTTGAGCCATACATTTAAGCGAGGATGAAATTACAAGAAACAAAGATTTATAATTTCATTTTTAAGTGCAGAAATTCTCTTACAATGTGCATTAACAAGAAATTTTGAGCAGCAAATCCAACTTAAAATGTAAGTATAAATGTATCATCAAAATCTTTATGATCCTGTATCTCCTTACACTACAATTGGGCTGAATCAAGATTCTTTTTAAAATTTTTATTCTCATTTATTTTTTTGCCCCTTCCCCCCAATCCTGACTGGTCTCATTATATCTCTGGCTTGTATCCAATAAGCTCCAGTTCTGGCCAGCCCAAAATTCTGTTTTTCAGTTAGCACACTGACTACTGTTAAAATAAAAGGGGTACTTTGTCTACACAAGATATTATATACCACCAAACTGGACAATTACTTGCTTAAAGAAAGCTAGTACATTTCAGTACTAGCTGACAAATACAACTGATTCAGGAAAACTTCAGTCTAATCTAATTATGTTTTATTTTTTCCTATATTGCATTCTACTCTAGCCTAGGCCATTCCCAAGGAAACAGCCAAGTTTACTGACTTCATCCTCAGTTTCTTCCTCCTTTGCTCATTTCTGAGGCATTGTACTTAAAATATTATCAACTGGTCTAGCAGGCTCACAAAGTCATTATCATCTTGAGGAACGAGGGTGCTAAAATACATGAGTAGATGGATGTCTGTGTAAGACAACAGGGCGTGGTGGGGCCACTGTACAGGGACATATAACAAAAACAAAAACTTAAAAACAAAGAAACAAATCCTCCAGGTCTGCTTTGGTCCCTGGTTCTTACTGTCTTCTGCTTCTACACTGCGGAGCAATGACACCCCTCATTACATGTAGTGATTCTCAGGAACAGAAATGGGATGGGTTGGGAAGAGGAGATATGATATACCCCTTCCTCCACACTTTGAGAATTTCTACACTAGAGCAACGATCAGGTCAACTACTTATAAAAACAAAGACTCCTGAACAGTGATTTAGACAAAACAAAACAAAAATAAAAAAAACAATCCTGACACACATTGATTCTGTTTGGTTACAAAAACTCCCATCTCTAACTCTTAAAAAACCAAGTATTTTTGTTTCCTTAGTAGGCTATATTTCTTTCAAGCCACAAGAATTGTGTCTGCCTCGGTAAACATTTCATTTTTAAAGCTCTTAGGTACTGAAGCTATACACAAAGGCCCAGAAGAAAATCAGACCAAAAATGAAAACCCTAATATCTTTTTACCCTAAAAATTACAGAAATTACTGGGAACAGCTTGACAACATACTTTATGTTTTATATAATTTGAGGAGACATTTGTTATTACATTAAAAATGAATTTTAAAAAGCATTCTTAGAAGATCAGGTTAATATTGAATGCAATTTTTATTTTTATTTCATTTTTATTAAAGATGGAGCATCATTAAATTGGCACTTTCTAAACTGCGTTAAAGAATTTACATACAAATAAACAGCAGTACCATGACTTGAAACCAAGGAATGTATTTTAGAAGAATAAAGTAGAACTTAGGCAGAAATAGAACTTTAAAAATATTCAATAAAAAGACATATTCAGTAAAAATAAAAGACTAATACTTCATACATTTGGTTAGAAACCAGATGAAAGCATCTGACCTGTGTGATAACTTCAGTAAAGATCAGCAACTTACTTACATTTAAGTTAGATGACATTTTAATTAACAATAACAATACAGAACTATCTATGTACTCAAAAAAGTAATAGAGAACTAGGGTTCAAATCTCAGCAATTTATGTAATCCTGGACACATACCAAACTGCTCTGAGCTTCAGTTTCTTCATATGTAAAAGGCAGGCCAATACTACTACCAACCTTTAAAGGTTATAGTGACAAACTATTACTTGAGAGGGACATCTGTAAAGCACTTAGTACACTGTGTAACAAATGGCAGATGGTCAATAAATGAAAAATATTATATCATGCTCAGTGCCACTCTGTAACACTTACACACTTCAATGACATACCTCTGTCGGAACATCATAGCTGGGTCCATGTTAGCAGAAGTCATTCGAACAACTTGACGAATTTCCTTGGCAATCATTCTGAGCTTCTCAAAATTTACTAAACCATCTACTTTGGAATCATTTCCTATAGAATAAAAGTAACTTTTTTTAACTTCCAAAATTAAAATATCTAAATAAAGGTAGCAGAAGTTATCATTGTTGGAGGCACAAATCAGAACCTTCTTTATCAAACTGTCACTTTTGTTTTCAAGAACTGATAAACCCATAGATGGTTTAATCCTGCTCCCAGGGAATGAGCTAATGGGAGAAATTCTATTCCTACGAAAGTAATGATTATGATTACTGGAAAGTGAGAAACTGTGCATAGCTTCTAAAAGCCATTTCATTATGCTGTAGGCACACCTAGTAAAAAACACAGCTCCTCAAATCTAATTCTCCAGATGCTCAGCCCGCTCTTAGGCAAGTACGTGCATGTGTTTTTTTGGGCAGCAGAGTAGAGCACTTGAAAACTTAGGTTTTAGCCAGAGGTCATAAACAGTGACCTTTGGCTTAACTAATCTAGTAAGGTTTCTATGATTTACAGTAATTAAATAAATTGTAAAATGAGTTGTCAACACTTAAGAAGTGGAAGACATCCCAAGAAAACAAGAATTTCTGACTTCTCTCGAAGAAAAAAAGCGGGGTGGGTAGGTGGGGGATTAAATAATAAGTATTGATAGGTCTGTTTTCCAAGTGGTAATAATTAGTTAAAATTAAGAGGTGGCTGGCTCGTAGGGGTAGACATCTTCTAGTCTGCCATGCATCCTCTCTTCCCCAGGATTTGAATTTACAATCATGACTTTAATCATTAAACACAAATTTGCTTGTTTGTAAGTTCCATGGTTTTTGTTTCTGTTTCACTAAGTAGTTCTCTGAGGAAAAAAATTCATACACCTCTCAAAATGGTCTACTTTTCTTTGACGAGAACAGGAATGAGACCAGACTTAGCCCATATGTTGGCTTACCCAGTTCAAACCACAAGGCAAAAAATTATATGTTCAAAGGGTAATCTGTCTTTTTTTCACACCTGTCTTTAACAGTTGGTGTGACCCTATTTATTTTCCACATAGCCCCTGAGGTATCTGTGGAATTCCAAGTCCCTGAAGCCAAGTTTGAGAACCACATGGGTCTGGAACACATGGTGGGCTCCCTTTTTGTAGTAAATGGCACCTATTCATTGGACATATAAATTGTTCAGGGTCTCAACATGAGTTGAAAACAAAATGATAACCGAAAATACTTTCAAGTCACCTAAACATGTTTTGAGGGAGCATGTCAGAAAAATATACTTGAAGCCTATAATGATATTTTCTTATGAAAAAGGAGTGATAATGAAAGTGGGGGCAGTACAACTAGTTAATTGGCACAACACGTCTGTTAAGAACAGTTAGAAAAGTTGGACAAAAATAGAAAAAAAATGTTTTAAGTCATCAAAAAACTATCAAGGTCGTGAAGATCTGAAGCAATAATGAAGTTCTGTGGCAAGTTTAGCATCTCCCAGTGCTTGACCCAGCATCTGCTGATTTCAGAAAAGGGGATGATGAGCTGAAAAACTGAGTAGTTGCCACCATGACCTTTGAAGTTAGAGAAGAACAACTTAAGTCTAGATAAATCTTCAATGTTTTGGGTTGGGATTTTGAAGGCCTATAATATATCCTCAGACTAAAGATAAACTAAATGTAGACTGGGATAAAAGTTCAGTGTTAAATTATCTCAAAATATGAAAATGGTTTAAGGTTATTTTTGGATTGTTAGCACCCCTAGCTGCCTGGCAGAAGCAAGCTTTAATTCTCTCTGGAGGAATGTAATATTGTCTAAAACTCTAGGTTATTTCTGTAATTTCTTTGTACACAACATCCATTTGGTCAAAAATAACCAGGTACATCAGGAGAAAATTCAACATGATTGAAATGCAAGGAAAAAAAAAATAAAAGACAACAGAAAGACTCATAAAGGATCTAGATTATGGAGTTATTGAAGACAAACATAATAGTAACTGGTAAATATGTGCAAGGTTATAAAAAACAACACTGAGAACTCTGGCAGAGAACATGAAGATAAAAAATGAATTTAAATTGTAAAACTGGAAAAAAAAAAACCCAATAACTGAAATAAGGAATTTGCTGCTGAATTTAACAGTAAATTAGACACAGCTGAAGAAATAATTTAAAAATTGGACATTAAGCTGGGAGAAAATTCCAGAATGAATAAAAATATCCAGGTCAGAGAAAACCAAATGCTGCACTTAGTCACATCACAGCAAAACTAGAGAAAAACAGATAGAGAGAAGAGAAAATTATAAAGCAGCTATGAGAAAAAGGGTTGATTATTGTCAAAGGAACAACAAATAAGACTGACACTTGATTTCTCAACAATAACAATGCAAGCCAGGAGACAGTTTTGTTATCTCAATATGTTGAAAGGGAAGTGCCAACCAAAGTTATGCCTTAAGAATGAATATTAATTAAAGACATTTTTCAAATAAACAAAAAGTAAGAGATTTCATCACCAGTAGACTTGCGTATAAGGGAATAATAATCAGTGTTCTACAGGAGAAAAAAACCCCAACCACGTGAAAACTTTGAAATGCAGGAAAAGTAACAATATCATCATGCAGGTAAAGCTAAATAAATACTGACTTTACTAAACAACAATAGTATAGTGTGGCATTTAAAGGCATGGAAACAACTGTATATGTCGGGAGGTGAGCAAATGGGAATTTAAATGGTCTAACTTCTTGCACTGCCTGACACACAGAAAAGTACTAATGAATATTACGTGAATTAATATCAACAGGTATAAATATATAGGGTTGGCCAAAAAGTTCCTTTGGTTTTTAAGTAAAACTAAAAGACATTTTTCATTTTCACCAAGAACTTTATTGAACAACGTATTCACCTTTTTGTTCCACTACCTTCTGCCATTTTCCAGGTAACTTCATAATTCCATCTTCCCAAAATTTTTTATCTTTTTGAGTAAAGAACTGTTCCAGGTGCCTTTTACAGTCTTCCAGGAAATGGAAATTTTTTCCATTAAGAGAATTTTGTAAAGACCGAAATAAATGGAAATCCGATCTCTGGTGCATATGGCAGATGAATGAGAACTTCCCAGTCAAGCTGTAACAGTTCTTGCTTGGTCATAAAAGAAACATGCGGTCTTCCGTTATCCTGATAGAAGATTATGCATTTTCTGTTGACTAATTCTAAACGCTTTAGGTTGAGTGCTGCTTTCAGTTGGTCTAATTGGGAGCAGTACTTGCTGGACTTAATCATTGGGTTTTCTGCAAGGAGTTCATAATAGAAGACTCACTCCCTTCTAATCCTACCATATACACAACATCCATCACCTTCTTTGGATGAAGACCGGCCTTTGGTGTAGTTGGTTGTTGTTCATTTCGCTTGCCCCACGATCTCTTCTGTTCCACATTACTGTGCAGTATCCACTTTTCATCACCAGTCAAAATTTGTTTTAAAAACGAAACATTTTCATTACATTTAAGTATAGAATCACATGCAGAAATATGGCCAAGGTTTTTTTGGCTTAACTTATGTGGAAACCAAACATCAAAGCAATTAACATACCAAGCTGGTGCAAATGATTTTCAATGCTTGATTTGGGTATTTTGAGTATGTTGGCTATCTCCAGCGTGGCATAATATTGATTGTTCTCAATTAATGTTTCAATTTGATTGCTATCAACTTCAACTGGTCTACCCAACTGTGGAGCAATGTCCAGCGAGAAATCTCCAGCACGAAACTTCGCAAACCACTTTTGACACGTTTGAGCAGTCACAGCACCTTCTCCATACACCGCACAAATCCTTTTGTGCATGTCAGTTTCATTTTTACCTTTCTTTAAATAATAAAGTATAATATGCCGAAAATGTTGTTTTTCTTCCATCTTCAGTATTAAAATGGCTACACAAAAATCCACCAATTTTGATAAGTTTTTTAAAAATGCACGCTGACCTGACAGCTGTCACGATACAATCTAACAAAATTGTTTCGAATGAAGTGAAAGACAACTAACAGCTACTAGAAAAAACCGAACAAACTTTTTGGCCAACCCAATATAATGTCTAGTGTAACACTAGAAAATTAGTAAACCAGTGTGTAGTCAGCAAGTTAATGGAGGACAAATACCATTCACAAAAATCAATTAAGGGGATTGCAGATAAACCACATGGCAAAAGGTTAATTTGGTTTTTAAAACTAAGAACTTGCTGTTCATCAAAAGACATCCTTAAGAGAGTCAAAAGGCAAGTCATACTATATACAGGACTTACACAAAATTCTTAAAAAGTATATTAGAAAAACAGAACCTTATAAAAAATAAGCAGGACACTGAACTGATAGTTGTCAAAAGAGGACAAATAAATATACAAAAGGGTGTTCAGCCTCATTAGTAATCAGAGAAATGTAAATTAAACCACATCAAGATACAATTACACACCTACTGGAATGGATAAAAATAAAAAGAATCAATTTACCAGGTGTTGGTGAGAATGAGGAACAAGAATGCTAAAAACACTGCCAGTGTTCCACTTTAGTAGATTAACCTCAAACAGCTTTCCAAAGTTGAGTATATGAATATCAGGACCCATAAATTTCACTGTGAATTATACTGAACAAAAATGCACGTGCACTATGAGATATGTGAAAGAATATTCATAGCAGCATTATTCGTAAACAGTGGAAACGATCAAATGCTCATCAATGGATTGGATGAATCCACTGTATTGCATTTATGTAATGGAATGAATGCTAAATAGTTTTGAAAATGAAGTACAGTTACACTCAAAAACATGGAAGAATCTCATCTCAGAAGTCTAATGTTGACCAAAATAATCCAGAAGCCAAACCAAAACTAAAAATATAAACATACTCTGTGATTATATAAAGTTCAAGAACAGGTGAAACTAAACCACAGTATTAGAAGTCAAGACCCTAGTTATCTTTGGGGAAGATAAAGGTGGTAATTAGGAAAGGGCATGAGTGGGGGTGCTGGGAGGTAGGCAATATTTTATTTCTTTGACTGGATGTTGGGTGCATGGGTGTTTGCTTTGTCATAATTCATTGAGTTGTTCACTTGTTCTGGGTACTTTTCTGTATGTGTTTAGTAATTTAAAAATTAAGTTGGAAGGAAAAATATTACTAAACAAAACAATAAATAAGATCAAAAAGTCTGATCTTGGTTGTAAGTCAACTTTAAGTTTGAATGCATTGGGTAAACACCTACATTTGTTCTTGTCAATAATGTGGGTTTTGGTTCCTAAGATTTGCTGCATTTAACTGGGTAAAGCTTTAGTGACTTTTAATCAATAGACTGGAAAATACATCACAATTATGGAGAATTAGCTGAAGCTAAATATGCTAATTTTCAAATTACTTTTAAATACCTTCATGTAGAAATGTCATATCTTTCTTGACAACGGGGAAGAGTGGAATAATTGGAGGCTGCATGCTTTGACTACTAAGAATATTTCTATATTTTGCCATGTTTCTAGATGGATCAAAAAGGTCTTGTAGATCTTGGAGGTGTTTCTCATACTTGCTTGGTAACTTTTCCCAAGTACCTCTGAGTCGTGCTACAGATGCCAGGTTCAAGCCACTGCCAAAGATGAGAATAAAAACATTAGAAAGGGACTTGTGGGAGAGAAAGGACTCAGGTCAGGAAAGTGTATAAACCAATCTTTTCTAATAAAGGTAAAATAAGCAGGGACAAATTTCAATGTGTTGAAATAAACAGGAGAATCATGAAGAAAGAAAGAAATAAAAGGGACTCCTTGATCTTAAGGAAAACTTCCTTCAAAGGAACTACATTACTTGCCTATGGTTGTATACCAACAGTCTTTATTTTGTAGTCTGCATGTAAATCACAAATATAGTAATTCCATAAAATAGGCATTTAACTTAAAAATAAACTTCAAGTATCACAATGTTTTTTTATTTGCTCAGAAATAACTTTATGGACACATTATCTATTTGAGAGTGATGTAAGTGATAACAAGCGTTATATAAGAAGCAAGGCAAGTTCTGGGGCTGAAAACCTTCTTTCCTTGAGATTTTGGCCACTCATGTCCCTGATTCCAATACTTCCATATCCCTAGATTCTAATCCTGTTGTCCCTCAGGCCTTCATACATTCAATGTCTCCTCTCTATAGGATTTTAAACAAACTCAGATAGTCCTAACTTTAAAAATAATGCATGCCAATTAGGCTACAACTCCTCCCTATCCCTTACCTCTACACTACCAACTCATAGGTATGCTGCTGAATGAATAGTGCAATTTTCCTATCAGTTAATCCCTCTTTTGTTCTCAGCCACCTGACTTTTACCAGTACTATGGTATTTAAAATGTTCTCTTGATTTCTGATTTTAAAGTGTGGAGTTAAGGTATCTTTGTTCCCTCTGCTTCTCAGAAATCATCCCAAACAACTACAAGGATGAATAACAGGAATGCAAATTTCATCTCCACCAAAACTAAGAGATATCTGTAACTCCTAAACACATTAGAAAGGCTGTCAAAAAACAGTCAAGGTCAACTTTGAGTAGGCAAAATGCTGAAAAAGAATGCCTGCAGCTGAAGATGTCAATGAAAGCTGGTAAAGCACAGCTCTCTGAAGCAGGTAACTCACCCAGAAGGCAAACCAGGAATCCCCTATTTGGAACAACACAACAGAGTCCATAGGCTGACAGAATTAGGAGGGGGTTGGACTCTGTTCTTTACCAGAGAGTGTCAGGGAAAGTAAGATTAACACAGTACACACAGTGATATAACATCTTGGCAAGAAGGAATTTAACAGTGACACAAGAAAGAAGGGAGAAACTGAGTTGTAAGCAGCCATAAAACTGCCAATTTTCATTTGCTGGAGAGAAGTAAAGGGTAAAACAATTCACATACAAGCTCTATTTCTGCTAGCCTGGGATACTGCTCTGGCTTTTCTCCCACGTGAATCTCCTGCAGATAGATGGTATAGGAAAACTCATGTCATTCAAAAAAGGAATGAATGCCAGAGCTATAACATGCTGCTACAAGGAAAAACAAAGACTTAAAGATCAGAAAGCAGGAAAATGTTCCAACAATACAATAAAAACTGGGACTAATGACTCTAGCCATGATTTCAAATGAACTAATAAAGTAAACAAAGAGTAATGCAGTGATATAAGAGTTTAGGGAAAAAAATATATAAGTTGATAAAAAAGTTAAGTAAAGTTTAGAAAAGAATGGAAGAAAAAAATGCAACCAACAGAGAAATGAAGGCAACACTGGAACCTACATAAAGAAAAAAAAGACACTGCTAAAACCTTAGGCAAGTGACTTAAAAGAAAGGATTAACAAAAGCAATCAATGGAAATGGACAGAGCTGAAAAGAACAAGAGAGAAAATAATGGATATGGAAGACAAAGGAGATCTAAAATATATATAATTGGTATCCTTGAAGAAGGAAACGAAAATAATGGAACTGAAAAAATATTCAAAAGTACAATCTGAGAAAACTATTCAGAAACAAAAGAACTGAATCTATAGAATAGATACCACAGTTCCAGAGAACTTGATACAAAACTAAATGAGATGTGGAAACACCCATGTAAAGGTAAATGACTTCAGAGATAAGGAAATAATGAGAGTAAACACAGAAACTTGAACAGCTATATAAAATGCTAGTTGTAGAGCCATTATCTATGAGGTTCCCAAGAAATTACATGTTAGACAAGAATTTTAAAGGCAGATAAACTGACACTGAGGTTCAAAGCCAACAGAAAAACTCTGAATATGCTCAGGATATATAATTCCCATAAGCCCTTGTGCAAGAAATGACTAGAAAACAAACTTCAACCAGGAGATGACTGGAGAGAGTGACGTCAGCATTATACTGTCATAAGACGACCCTCATTTTACCCCCTGCCCCAACAACGAAAATTCAGCATCTATCCATTAACAGTAAGTAGTGCCTCTGTGGGAGTTGTGAGACCCAGAATCACAGACCAAGGGACCTGAGAGGAGCCTCACCCACTGGTATACTGGGTAACAAGCAGGTAGATTTGGGTACTGGCTGTGGAACCTAGAGCAGACTATGAAATGGTTCTGGCCCCTCTTAGCTGTGGTCTGGGAACACATGGAGAACACTGACTTTGGGGGTCAGCTACAGACAAGAGAGCCTTTGTGAAGTCCAGGTTTCCAGAGGAGAAGTTCAAGCACTCTGCTGGAATATGACAGAACAGAAAAAAAGAGTGCAGATGCACTGGAATAGAAATAGCTTGACTTTGCTGGCATCAAGGAAAGCATAGCTTAAGCCTAAACTAGACGGCCTATGATTTCTCCCACAGGGGAAAGGGAGAGCCGGTGAGTGAATGCTTGGCTGCCCTAGCAGTGTAGGATGCTGCCAAAGACACTCATTCTGTCTTGTAGCATCCAGAGCACTAAAGTGGGAGCTCCATGACTGCGGGGAGGGAACAGATCAGAAGAGTAGCATATAAGATTCCAAGAGGTATTAATGGGATGCAGTTCCTGCTAAATGCTTCTGGATTCCAACAGGAAGCCCATCCAGGAGCCACAGGGAAAACCTGACTTGTAAACCCCCCCAACGTACCCAAGAGCACCTGCAGCTCAACATGCACAAACCCACACCTCCCCCCACTCTGCTACTGGCTCCCTGTGCAAGGTCCCAAGAGAAAGCTCTGGTAGAGAGGAAACACACACAGGAAACAGGCCAGAGTCTGTGGGCAAAGAAACCACAAACCTGAGCTGTAGCACTACCTTTAGGAAAACAAGAGACTATCAGCAGCTGACACAGTACATCCTAGGATACAGAGAAGACATACAAGCTTCAGAATTCTGCCACAAGGGGGAAAAGAAGCATGGAGCAGATGTATCCACACAATGCCTGAGAAAGCCTCAGAATCTATCAATATATCAAGAATGATGAAAGGCTTTTTATCCTGAAGGCAACTCATAAAACTCAGAGAAGGTGAATGCTATTTCAAATGCAAAAAGAGCAATGCAAAACTCCAAGTAACATGAAAAATGAAGGAAACACGACATCACCAAAAGTTCACAGTAATCTTCCAGTAATCAAACCCAAAGACATGGCGATCTATAATTTACCTAACAAAGAATTCAAAACAGGTGTTCTAAGAAAACTCAATCAGCTATAAGAAAACAAAGACAATTCAATGCAATCAGGAAAACAATATATGATCCAAATGAGAAATTTAACAAAGATACAGACATCACAAGAAAGAACCAAATGAATATTCTGGAGCTGAAGAATTCAGTGAATGAAATGAAAAAATGCACTAGAGAGCATCAACATCCAGTAGACCAAAGAGAAGGAAAAATCAATGCGATAGAGGACAGGAACTTTGAAATAGTCTGAGGAGAAAAAAGAATGAAGAAAGTTGGGAAACCATCAAAAAAAAACCCCCCAATATACAAACCACTGGAGTTCTAGAGGGTGAAGTGAGGGAAAAGGGGGCAAAAAGACTATTTAAAGAATTATGGCTGAGAACTTCCCAAACCTGGAAAGAGATCTAGACATCCAAGCTCACGAAGCTAAATGGTCACCCCATTATTTCAATCTAAAACAACTTTCTCCAAGACACATTATAATAAAGGCAGCAAGAGAAAAAAAGATTGTAACTTACAAAGGAAACCCCATTAGGCTATCAGCAGATTTCTTAGCAGACACCTTACAGGCCAGGAGAGAGTGGTCTAACAGTCAAGAGTACTCTATCTGGCAAAGTTATCCTAGAGAAATGGAGGACTTTCCCAGAAAAAACAAGAGCTGAGAAATTCACCATCACTAGATGTGCCTTATAAGAAATGCTAAAAGAAGTTCTTCAAATGAAATGAAATGATGCTAACTAGTAACATGAAAACATATAAAAATATACAACACTCTGATAAAGGTAAATATACAGTTAAATTTAAAAAACTCTCAACACTGAAATACGATGGCATGTTAACTAGAGTATAAAGGTTAAAGGACAAGAGTGTCAAAAATAATTCTAGCTACTACAATTTGTGAATGAATACACAATATAAAAAGGCAAATTGTGACATGAAAAACATAAAGGAGGGGGTAGGGTTTTGTATGTGACTGAAATTTTATCAGTGTCAAATAGACTGTTAATAAGATGCTTCATGTAAGTCTCATGGTAACCACAAAGCAAAAGCCTATAGTGGACTCACAAAAGAGGAAAAGGGAATCAGAGCATATCACCATGGAAAAGCACCAATTCACAAAGGAACACAGCAACAGAGTCAAAAAGTTAACAAGGGAATTATAAAACGTCCAGAAAACAATTAGATGGCAGTGGTTAAGTCCTTACATATCAATAATTACTCTAAAGGTAAATGGACTGAATTTTCCAATCCAATGGCACAGTTACTGGTGGATAAAAAAAAACAAGATCCCACTATATACTGCCTACCCAACTCAGCCTAAAGGATACAGACAGGCTCAAAGTGAATGGATGGAAAAAGATATTCCATGGAAGTGGAAACCAAAAGAGAATAGAGTTATTTATGTCAGCCAAAATAGACTTTAAGTCAAAAATGGTAATAAGAGACAAAGAAGGTCATTATATAATGATAAAGGGGTCGACTCAGCAAGAAGACATAACAATTGTAAATATGTGTGCACCCAACAGCACAGCACCTAAGTATATTAAGCAAACACCAACAGATGTGAAGGGAGAAAAAAACAATACAGTAATAGCAGGGGACTTCAATACCCCACTTTTAGCAATGGATCAATCACCCAGACAAAAAAATCAACAAGGAAATGTTGGACCTGAACCATACTTTAGATCAATGGACCTAACAGACATATAGAGGACATTCCATCCAACATCAGCAGAATACACAATTCTTCTCAAGCATGCACAGAACATCTTCCAGGATAGGTCATGTAAGCCACAAAACAAGTCTTAGCAAATTTAAGAAGACCCAAATCATACCAAGTATCTTTTCTGACCAGAGTGTGTGAAACAGCAAGAGGAAAAATGGAAAATCTACAAATATATGGAAATTAAGCAACACACCCCTGAACAACCAATGGGTCAAAGAAATCAAAGGGGAAATAAAAAAATGTCTCTCAACAGAGGAAAATGGATATACAACATTCCAAAATTTGGTGGATGCTTCAAAAGCAGTTCCAAGACAGAAGTTTATAATGATAAATAATTATATTAAGAAAGACCTCAAGTAAATTACATAACATATGTAACCAGAACTAGAAAAAGAAGAAACTAAGCCCTTTGGGAAATAACAAAAATCCGAGCGGAAATAAATGAGAGACCAGAAAAACAACAGAAAAGATCAATGAAACTAAGAACAGGTTTTCTGAAATAATAAACAAAACTGACAAACCTTTGGTTAGACTTAAAAAAAGAGAAATAAATAAAATATGCTATTTAATTCCAGCCATAAGTGATTGATCTGCCTGTGTCATCTCTGTTGAAAAGTCAATATATCCTTTATATTCTGTAATGTATTTTAATATAAAATGTAAGAATACAAAGCAATTAACTTTACATGAATTATCGAAAATATATATAATAAAATGTTCTTCATAACAAAACAAACCTCCTAACCAAAGCAAAGCCTCTTAACCAAATCTCGCCTTTCTTATGCCCATCTTGGGGCTGCTGTCCACCACCCTCCCTCAAATCATTCTGTTTCCTTGGCTTTAATGACACTATCAAAATTGTGCTCTCCTACTGTTTCTTATATTGATCTTATATTTCTTTGGCTGGACTCTCTTCTTTACCTCCACCCTGAGGATGGTCTCTAAGGTATGGTTTTTAGCTCTTTATCATTTTCTTTGGACACAGAGATCTCTTCTGGTGTCAATCAATTTTTTTTTTTTAATGGAATACTCTGAAACTGAGCCTATAACTCTCAGATTCTTTACTCCGTGCTTCCTAAACGAATACTTTCAATTTCTAGCCTTCTAAGGTGTTTATCAATGGCATCTCTGTTCTCTTGTTTTAGACCCAGCTGTTAAAAACTGTGAGGTAGGTGGTGTAATTCCTGAATTTCACAGATGAGAAATCGGTCTTCAGTTTCCCCTTGACACGTTAGAGGCAGGACTCAAATACAGGTGCAGTTGATTCTAAAGGTCACTCTATTAATCTCTATTCAATACTTCCTCCACAGTGCCTAGTTCAATTGCATCCACTGGTAAATTTCATAAAGGAGTTTTCTATTACTATGACAGATTTATGATTAAAAAGTTCCTTAAAGATTCTAATTTTATCTCATGTGACTATTAGGAATAAATCATAATTAATTTTTTGGAGGGTGTGCATAGATGGGATTAGTTAAGGTAGCTATTATGCTGCCATATATAAGCACATGGCCTTATAAATAGACCAAACTACCACTACCCTCCACCATTAAAATCAGACTTGCTTTAAGAGGAATCCCTCTGTTGGTCAGTATTGTGCTGGATGAGGGTCAGAAAATAAATTACCTAGACCTAGATTCTCATAATAAGTGAAGAGAAGGAAGAAGATTCCCAGGAGCTCATGTAACCATACACACTTCCTGGGTTTATAAACTTTGAAGGATTTTTACAATTCTTATGGCCCAGCTTTTGTCTGAGTGGTAACACATTCACTGATACCTTGTATAGTCTGTGGGAAACAGGAAGAGGTCACCAAATAGCTGCTGTTGTTATTACTGTTGCTACTGTTGTCACTTCAAAATAGCAATTGTAAGTTAGTGCATTAATATCATTAATTTTTAGTGCATTAATTTTTCAGTGTCAAATCATGGTGAGGCAGGTACTGCCTGTTGCACAGAAGTCTGATGATAAAGACAGCTATTGGACATACATCCAAGAGGGTATAATACCTCAAAGGGGGAGAAAGGAAGAAAATTGGGAAGGCAATCACCTATACTTACCAAAAAAATGTTTAAGTGACTGAAAGATGGAAGAAACAAAAAGAGAAAAAATCCAGTCTCACCAGAATGGAAAATATATTAAATCTAACAATATTTATATAAACACATATTAATTGAACTTTTCTTCTCCTAGCCATTTAATACCTAAGAAGAAAATCAGCTTCATGTCCAGTATCATGACAAAACCATAAAGAAATATTTGTACAAATTTACCTTATTATTGCAAACATGGAATTGAAGTTCTTACATTCTCGACAATGAAGTGCAATTTTAATAAAATGTTTAATAATCTTCATTCGTTTGAGCTGATTTGATTCAGTTAAAATCTCTGAGGCCACCCAGAATGTCTCTTGGTTTACAATATCTTCAAATTCTTTCAAGTGAGTATTTCCTGTTTTTGAATCTAACTTAAAAAGGTCATCAATATATTCAGTAGGCTCAATATTACGAAATAAATCAAAGTCCCTCATTGATAGCTGAGTGGCCACCTCAATAGTACTGAGCTGCAGCATGGATAGTTGGCTTTCCTTAATTAGTTCTTGAGCATCTTCATCTGAACAGAGGGTTTCTGTTTCCATGTTATTTTTTAAATAATACCTAAAAGGAAAAAATTGTTTTTATGAGTGATTTCACATTTATAAGAACACTTTCCCTCTATCACTGTTGTCAAAATATCATTATACTGTTAATAACTTTTTGCCAGAAATGTCAGCAGAATATTGATTTAAAGATAAGATAGAGGGACTTCCCTGGTAGCACAGTGGTTAAGGCTCCGCGCTCCCAATGCAGGGGGCATGGGTTCGATCCCTGGTCAGGGAACTAGATCCCACATGCCGCAACTAAGGAGGCCACCTCCTGCAACTAAGACCCAGTGCAACTAAATAATAAATAAATAAATATTTTTTAAAAAGATAAAAAGGAAAATTAATATTTTAAATAAGAAGACTTTGAAGACGTTTTCCTCCTATTCCACCATTTAACATCTATTATTTTAAAGTGTAAAAATAATGTTGATTATGCTGTGAACTTAATCATTTTCAGAAACTACTCTCATGACATGTGAAGAATCACATGTATATTCTTGAGAACAAAAGCTCTGTGAGGGCTCTATAAGGATATAGGACACATAATAGGTACTATACAAATACTTGTTCAGGGACAGCATGAATAAACTCCTGAATCAAGACTGTTCACATCTCTACTCAGAAGTTGTTGCTGTACTCATTCCCTTCTTAACTCTAAATTTCCAAGAGAAGCAAAGAAGAATAAAACCCATAAAGGAGGGAAACTCTTCCACTACTGATTGCTCCCTTGATAAATCCAAAACCTCATTCCAGCAAATGGCACTGACCAGTAACCATTAAAAAGATCTTCATTTGCCTTTCACCTTTTTAGATGAACAATTTTATGGCACTTAAAAGCTAAGAGATGGGTTAAGTAAAGAATTCACAATTGGGAAATATACAGGGCTGTTGCTGCAGAAGAGGTTACATATTGTATCACATGTAGTTTTTCCTTCATTCTTTTCTAACATACAACTTGATCTAAGCCTAGGTTTGTGTCCATCTATGTTTTATTGTCAAGAAACTGTATTTCTTTTTCTTCTGCCTTTAAACTGTTCACATGCCTAAGAGATTACCATAAATAAGTGTTGAAACTCATACTATAGATAATAAAATTATATCTAACATTTAAAGTATGTAATGCTTATTAACTCATTTAATTCTCATAACATTCCTCTGAGGTAGGTTCCATTATTATCATCCCACTTTATGATGAGAAAATTCAGGCACAGAGAAACTAAATAACTTGCTCAAGGTCACATAGCCAGACCAGGGATTTGAATTTGGGCAGTCTGGCTCCAGGGTTCATGCTCTTAACCACTATGTAAAGCCAGCAAAGCAGCGTTAACCCACTCTTTCTTAACAGCAACCATGATGGATAGTCATTTTAAGGTTTCCAAGGATCTCATCCTACATATGAATCTGGGCTCACTAAAAAGATTGCATTATTGTCAAAGAAAATCACCAAAGAACAAACGCAGTACTAAAACTATCTTCTAGTTGATTAAATAATTTTCAGAGCACATTAAAAACATTTTTTTAAAGTTTTCCTGTATATTCATAAAAGGAAAACTACTAAGAAAAATAATTATGAAAACTATGACTTCTTCTGCCCAAAGTACATACTGGTCATTTAAAAAGCAAATTTTTAAATTAACATATATACACTCAGATACATATAAAGATATGGATCATCTAGTTTCCCCCTCTAAAAAACAGGGATTGGATTATAACAGTGGTTGTAAGACTTCATTTTAGCAGGAGGGCTAAAATATTTTAGAACACTATCCTCCCTTTCTTTCTCCCACTTTTGGGTAGCACTTATTAGTGCTAACACTCTAAGATTCTATTATACATAATTACGGAGACAACAGAAAGCTAACAAAAGAGAAATTACATGTTAATTTTAGAGAGAACTCACTGGACCTAAAAACATGATGTTCCTAATTAAAGTATCTCTTTTAGCATGGAATCTTCAAAAACACATGTAGAAATAAGTACATTCATTAATAAGCACATTCACCTTCCATTGAGCTGAATTCTATCAGCTAATTTGGAGAACTGGTCCGGAAGTCTCCTCTGTTTTATGACACCCTCAGGAGTAACAGAAACTTCACAGAGAGAATAGGTGTCAGATGGACCAGTCAAACCAAATTCATGAATAGCTTGACAAACAACTTCTTTAGCTGTAGTGTCTTTACAGATGATAATGTAGCAACTTTGTTGATCTGCTTTGAAAACTCTTATAACTTGATCAGGAATATCTGTATAAATACAAAAATATGTCCTGTTATTTTCCAGAAAATGGCTTTTAAACTCTTCAAAAAATAATTTAGAAGAAAATGATCTCTCTAAAGAGTAATATATACATTTCTATTTCAGGAGGTTAAGAGAAATCATTGCTGCATTTATTAATAAATAAATCTATCTTTTCAGATGACAAAATATTAATATATGTTCACAGGAAAACACCAAGAAAAAGAGAAAAATTACAGTCATACTATGCATACGATTTGGAAGCCACGAAATTTTTGTTTATTATAAACATTTTTATGCCATTAAATATTCTTCAACAAAACATTTTTTAATGGAGGCATAGGACTTCACGATATGTATTTTATAATTTGAAATGATCCAAACCCTTAATCACAAACATTTACCTTGCATATCACTTTCCTTTATTATAAGTAACAGTATGATAAATAATTCCCCCCCCCCTACAAACTCTCCCTGTAGATAAACCTTTGCATGCAAGCTGATTATTTCCTCAGGGAAAATCCAAAAAAAGAGAAATGCTGAGTTAGAGGGCATGCATATTGTTAAGGTTTTTGAAATATACTTCTGAACTGTTCTCCAGGACAGTTATAGTATTTTATCATCCTAGGGTATAAAGAGAACAATTTTAGTCACACTCTTATCCAAACTGTTTATTAAAACTTTTTTTTTTTCCATTTTGAAAGCCCTATTGCATTTCTGCCCTCCAAAAATGTGTCATTATTTTATATTTCACTTCTTTGGTTACTGGTGAGACTCACTGGTTTAATGAACCATTATTATTCCTTTTTAAAAATACCTTTTGGTATTCTTCATGCTTTTTCCTACTGAATTATACTAAATACCAACACAGTCTACTATAAAGTGGCAAATGTCTTCTCAGATTTTATATTTATATACTTTAACACAGGAAAAATTTAAATATTCATGTGGTTAAATCTCAGTCTTTGCCTTTGTGATTTCTGCTATTAGTAAATAAGTCCTACTTTAAGATAAATGTTCACATATTATGTACATGGTAATAATGGTATTTTTCCCTCTTACTCTATCATATTTCTTTTTCTTCTTATATGGCATTGGCTAAAACTTCCTGAACAATGATCAATATGACAACAGTGGGCTAATTTTTTAATATAATTCTATTTTTATTACATAATTTACTATATAATTAAAAATAGTTAAGTGAAAAGAGATTTAACATGAAAAACTTAAATTTTTCCTTATGATAATAAATTGTTACAAAAATTTCTTTAATTTTAAATCAGGAAAAATGTATTATTGTGGATATTTTTGTCATGTGTGTAGTGGGGATGAGCTGGAGATATTTTGGTGGCTCAAGTAATGGTATATTCTTTGCCTAGCATTACCTCCTTCTTAGCATTGTATACATTGTAAGATTAAGAGGAAAAGAAAAATTACAAATTTGTCTCAAAACCACCTGAGGTATAATCCTAGCTAAAGGAAAGAGAAGAATAATGAAATAGATGTGGGAGGAAATAATTTCACAGAATAAAGTATGCAGTGAGGCTGAGGACACAAAAAGACAGAGACTGACTCTCAGGACTGGAAGAGTCAACTGAATATACACAAATACAATTACAGGAAGAAGGATTCTTAGCCAACAGATATTTTGAATGTTTTGGGTCTACTGTCAAATTGGAAGCAGAATACTTCATCTATCCAGGTCCCCTTCGTAAGATGCACGCACCAAACTGCCTTTTCTTAAGGTATGCAAAGATCTGAGTCACCAAACACCTCTTGTTCCTATTTCTTTGCAAATGAGTCAATCCTCAGCATGTTGCTGACATTATCAGGTTTCTAAGTCTACAAGGCATAATGTAGGGTCTTAATCCATGCGAACGAGACGCTTCTCTACTCTGGGCGAGAAAATGCAAGAAGTTGGAAATTTCAGTTTTCCAAAAGAAAGATACTGGACAGAACAGTTTCATTATCCCTTTTAACTCTATAAAAGGTGTCAAACAACTACTATTATTATCTGTATTGTTCCTACCCTCTTCACAAAAATAGGTCTCAGTTGTCCAGGACTCTAGATTTGGATTTGTTTACTAGGTCTTTGGGGGCTGAGCCTCAGCCAGCAGAGCTGGCTGACCTGGAAGGAATGGGGAGATGTTCTGATCCCTTTTATTAATTTCTTCAGAGAAATTTATTCACAAAGACAGGTGGGGAATTTGCATACATTTCTCTTGCTGCTAACATACTATAACATCTGCAAAGGAACAGATGTCTGTATCTTGTGTATCCTGCTAAACACTGTACTCTGTTACACTCTGTTAAATTCATACTCTGTTAAAACCAGTTGTTTCACATGCAAAGGACAAACTGTCATACAGTCATGTAAGTGGGATTCAGGCATCATAAATGGGTAGCTCTAGAACAGATCTGCAAACGGAATTATCCAAACGGTACTCCATAACCCAAACCTGGTGAATTCACCAAGATAATAAATGCCAAATTAGAAAACCATTTCAGAGCACATTTTCAGAGACACTGGAGGAAAAAATTTCTCCGTGCAGATATCAGTGTCAATGTAAACCTCTTTTTCCATTTTATAATTGCTACCTGTATAACACATATATTTTCTTTACAAACGTGTGTTAGCAGGAGAACATCATACATGCCAAACATAATACTTGGCACATGGCAGACACTCAAATGTTAATTGTTTAGATGAATGGTAAATATGAAGTTAGAATAAAGTTGAATCAAGAAGAAAAAATGATCTAAACATTTCAAATTTTAGGCACAAAGCTAGAATGCATATAAAAATATAATCCTGTAAGCAAAACAGACATTTAAAAAGAATCTTGAAGCAGTACAGCATTTATCAGTCTTATGATTCATATTCCATAATAAAATTCTTACATAATAGGTAAATGAATTCAAGAACTGAAATTCAGATACCTGGACTTCCAACCCAAGTGCAAAATTTCTAGAGTGTTAACTATCTCTCATAAATAAAATTTAAAAATAAGATAAGTGAAGGATACATGTTTTGACCCTGAGATTACACTAAAAATAGAAGAACTTTTTAGGTATTTAAGATGATCATTTAACAAAAGCAGAAGACTGCCTCTTCATTCTGCTTTAAATTGTTAATCACTATACAAATATTTAAGGAGTGCCACTTATACATCATTAGTGTTCTAGGTGATGAAGATGAAGTAATAAATGAGATTGACAAAGTCTCTGCTTGCAGAGATTTGCTTATATTCAAGAGAGTAAGTGGTGGTTCAAGGAAAGACAATAATCAAGTAAATAAGACAATCTGTATAGTAAAAAGTTCACAAAGCAAACACAGGGTAATGGTATAATGGTATGGTTTAAGAACTGGCAAACTTGTTCTACAAAGGGTCAAACAGCAAATATTTTATGTTCTGCAGGCCAAGAGGCAAAACAGATAATATTTCATAGATACTTATACAACAAGAAAGCAAATTTCCACAAAAATCTTGACAAAATTAAAAATATATCAATAATGCAAACCTACAACATGTAAAGATATGTAAACACAGAGGTTTAGGCAACGCTGCAAACATCCACTAAAAGGGGACTGGTTAAACAACGCTATCAGATGTTCAAAAAACTGTGGTAGAATACATTCTGATACAGAAAGGTATTTACGGTATATTACTAAATGAAATGGGCTAAGTGGAAAAAAATTATATCATTTGGGGTGAAGGAAACGATACACACGTTCTATGTGCTCTGAAATTTCTGGAAGGATGTAGGAGTAAATGAACAATTTGTTAATTCTGGAAAGCAGAGACTTTTATATTTTATCCTCTCTCTGCAAATAAAAACTTTAATATATGTTCCTTTACAATTAAAAATTAGTTAAAATACTTGCAATGCAAAAAGAATTTGAAGTTTACTAAATATTAACGAAGTCAAATAAAAAGTTTGTGCTATTAAATAAAAAAGAGTAAGCAAAAAGTTCCATATGAAGACTCAGAAAAAAAAATTCAGTTTTAAAATCCTTTTAGCTATACTCTGAATTCTTCTTTTAGGCCTCATCTCACATTAAGTCCAAAAATTCTGAAAATACTTTTCACAAGTTACAAAATAGCATGTATACTCTAATTCTATGAGTATAAAAACATATATATTCAAAGAAAATGACTGAAAGAATACACACCAGTTTACACTGGCAACCTTGTAAGTGTACAGAAAAGTTCTGCTTCCTATTTCATTCAATTCTGTATTATTTGACTTTTAAAAATATAGTAAAATACTGCATACAAACATAAGCAATAAAATACCATAGTCTTCAAGATACTTACAGTAAAAACCAACAGCTGTAGGCAGCAAAAACAAAGCAAAACCATAAAAAAGTCAGCAATCAAAAGCAAACTATTAAACAGTTCTGTAGCTTTGTCCTTACTTTCTAATAACAATTTAAAACATGCAGCAAAAATATAACTGAGATGTAGACTGATAAAAGTTAGTCAAACTTGGCTGACGTCACACATGTACTACAATATACATACGTGATGTACACAGCTAATCTAAAATTCAGTGCTGCCATATATGATTTATGGAGCTGAATTTGGAATTAATTGGTAATAAATATTTTATTCAACATAAATACAAATAGCACGGCAGAAAGCCTTTTGTAAAGTTGCTCATTTGGGGGTTTAAAAATATAATTTTGAGTTAAATTCCTATCTTGTATGTGTTCATTTATATTGCTGTTATGGACAAAGGCTACATACTGAGCTTTGCAGACTGACCTTCTCTGAATAGATTTTAAAAGGGCATCTTCAGCCCTTTCAACATGTTTTCATTGAGAGAATTATGCAATCAATCTGAAATCAAGTTGAGTAGTACATCCTCTTCAGAGATAAGAATTTCAGTGCCATGGGGCTTAGTTTCTGAATTTTAGTAATTCCAACCTCTCTCTTCCTTTCTCTCCCCCAGCTAAATTCCCAACTTCTTCTCTCTCTCCTCTTCCCTTCTACCCATCCCTTACCCACCCTGCAACCCAGCCACACTTCTAAATATGCCAGTGGCAAAAATACAGCCATAAATCAATAATCATAAGTCAATCAATCTATAAATCATATATCCCTAAATACTTGTCTTACGAAAGTACAGATGCATATTTAGTTTGTGCTTTTGTAGGGCTTAAATATTTTATTTGTGAACATAGTGTAAGAAGTACTGCTGTGGAACACACACACACACACAGACACAGAAATAAATTCCCATGCTACCACGTGACAAGCAATGTAAGAGAGACAATGAAAATGTGCTAGAGATTTCTGGGAAAAGAGATACTGATTCTGCATCAGAGGGACCTGGGATTCCCAGAAGAGGTAACAACTGAGTTCAGCATTGAGGAATAAGAAACATTTCATGGGATATGCAGGGAGAAAACACCAAACGTGGCAGACAACATGGGCAAAGAGAGTTCTGAAGGTACATGCCATACTCAGGAAAGACAGAAGAGGCAACAGTGGGGAGAATGGCAGAACAGGAGGCTAGAAAAGGGGTTGATAATTATGCTTTAAAAATTGGATACCAACAGTTATTAAGTTATTGTCTTTAGGCTCCAAACCCATGCTGCCCTGCCACAATGTGGCTGGGACTCTGCAAACCACATTTCTTCTTTGCCAACTGTCTCCCTCTTAGGTTCTGCCACAAAAGGGCACCAGAGGTAGACTGCAAGGTTAGAGGAAGAAGAGACTTGCTGCTTTATGTTCTTACTTGTGGGTATTTGGCTCTAGTATCACTCAAGCAACACTCCTTCACCCTGGTAGTGGCATTTCTTTCAAGTGCCAGAAGCTGAATCCAGTTTGCAGTTTCCTGTGATGCCTTAGTGCTTGCTTTTTTTACCTTTTTACATAGAACACTTTACTTTATACTTGGTAACAATTTCTGATATTAAACATATGGAGTCGTTTCTATCTCATGACTGAACCCGGAACTAATAGAAATCACTAGAAATTTCTAAGCCAAGTAACAACGCATCGAAACCTTCACTCTAGAAATAACACTGGCAGTCACGTAGAGGGTAGGGTGTATCAAAGACAGATTACTGGGTTTAGGAATCTCTCTAAAGAGGGGAAGAAGCAACTGAAATAAAAAGGAAGAAACAATGTGCAGAACAACTTTCTACTGTGCTTTTATGTTATGCCTTACATTTTAAATTTATGTTGCTGTATTAAAACATAAACTTTACTACTACATTTATACTTCCTCCTATCTAATACTGAGATTTATATAATTGAGTTCTTCCCTTCTCCCACTAGCTGAAAGAGATTTAGCGTCAAAACTGAAGCTGAATCACAACTATGCGCATCTTTGTAGAGGGTTTTTTTTTTTTAATTTTATAAGAGCACCTTTTATATTGTTATAAAATTTGGAGAATGGATTGGTTAAAATGTTGAAACCTGAGACTGGAGATATAAGTAGTGGTGAGTTTATGAAAGCTCTCACTTACCACAGCAAGAAATTTGGCTTATAAACTTTTGACAATTTTATCAAGTAGAAATGGGCTTAGCTGCATGTAACAGAAAACCTAACAAAAGATTAAGCAAATGGACACATTTTTGTAGAGGTGTATTTTTCCCTCCTCTCCTTGGACCCAAGTATATATTTCAGTTTTTAACTGTATGTGTCTTTTACTTAAAGCCATCTCAAATCCATTCAAATGGTGGATATATAACTAATTCTTCAAAGTGTTCCTTTGAAGTTACATAGTTAGATGACAATTTCTGCCTCTGAGCATGAACAGATGCAGAAAAATAAACGATGTCCCACAATGAAAGTCTGAACACCAATGAAAAAGATGATATAGTACTTTAATTAACAATACTGTATATAACAAAAACAACTTTAGCTTCAGGTGGTGGAGAGAAAAATCAGTATTTCTAGAAAACTACTAAGACATTTCTGTACATCACAGAGGAAGGTAAGTGAGACAACTTAGACTAAAATAATCTGTCTTATTTCTTTCCACATTCTGGGTAACATGTCTCTTGACCAAGAAGAAGTATCTCTGCTTTCATTCCATTGCTCTGATTAGGGTTACCAACAGATAACGTACTTCTCTTTCATAATGGAAGTACCACCACTCCAGTTGACAAAAAGACATAAAGTTCTCTTTAGCTTTTTTGCATTAAGTCAAAATATAGAGGTGAGAAAAGAGAACTGCAAGCAAATCCAGTAATTGTTGCACAAGGCTCAACCACCTATTTATCTATCTGGTACCAACATGGCTGAATAAAATAAACAAAAATTACCTGAGGGATTAGAAAAATCCAACATGCTGGTGGTAGGCTGCAGGAGATCGGGGCTGCTGGATGAGAGTGTTCCAGGGATAGGCATTATGGCCAAACTGTGCCTACAGTGTCTCGTTCCCACAATGCTGTCGTCCTGTGATTGGCTCAGGCCTACATCACTTCAAAAGAATGTAATATATCACTTTAAAGTATTTGAGGGGTCTTAATAGTAAACATTTCTGTTATCTGTGCACTAAGGCATAATAGGACCAATTCAAAGTAATGATTTTAAAATAGTACAGCAATTTAAAAAATAAGACAAGTGTAATCATGAAAATGGCAATAAAGTGTTTTTTAACAGTTACACTCAAATAAAATTTAACTTATACATCTAGGTAATTCTACTACAGTTGACCCTTGAGCAATGCAGGTTGAACTAAGCAGGTCCCCTTATGCACGGATATTTCTCAATAGGAGTAAATACTACAGTACTACATGGTCCATGGTTGGCTGAATCCGCAGATGTGAGGAACCACAGACATGTAGGGCCAACTATAAATTTTACATGAATTAACCCCTGCATTGTTCAAGGGGGGAATGTACATTGTAATGTTTGTATTTCATATTTAGTTTCTGCTGGTTTTGGTAGAGAAAATGAACCTGAGTGGGGAGTCCTTGAGGTCTGCCAGTTTCATTAGACACTAATATATATAAACAACAATGCACAGGGCTGCAGCAAGGTTCATCCTCTTGACCGAAAAGCTGGCAACCTTCTAGGCAAAGGATGGAGTTGGGTGTGAACCCAAGCCAAAAATATGCCAGGTTGTAGAAAACAAGGGGGCCTCGTTCAAGTGACAAAATAAGACAGGTCATTAAACATATGAGTAACCTGCGAACTGCTCAAACCAGCAAGTACAGAGAAAAGAAAATAGGAAGACGACACAGAAAATTGCAACAAACAACAAGAGCAATATGTGACAAATAGAAAGGAGAAGGAAAAAGAGGACCAAAAATGCAAATAGAAGAAAAAGAATTTTACAGTGTCTAGTTTATTCTAAGGGTATATTATTTCTTGTGTGATCTCTCAAGTCTAGTTGTTTGGCTGTTCCCTAGATGAGAACATCAAAACCAAAGCAGAAAGCAAGTCATCGAAAGTTAACTGCCTGTAAAGGTTTCAAAAACAAATAGCAATTAAAGGGCCATATTTAAGCAAATATAATATTTTCTTTAAAATATTTTAGAGGTGTTAAATAGGCAATTCTAAAACCATTTAAGAGAAGAAATAACAAATAAATGTAACCCTGTTACTTAAGGTTTAGATATCCCCAAAAGTTCTATAAAACATACGATAAGCAAAACAATCCTATACAAACATAGGACGGCAATGAAGACTTCCGTCAGCACCAACAACCAAAATACCACTTAGTTCTAAGCACTGGTTTTAACTGGTTAAAACCAATGCTTTAGGTTAATATTAATTCCCACCTATATTTTTTTCAGTGTAGCATTCTACCCAGTATTTGCTATATATACAAACAGTTATCACAGAATACTTACCTATTATCTTGGGATGGATTAATAAGGTCTGAGTGATATGGGATACTTCCTGAATATGTTAGGAGTTAAAAATAGGATGCATGCAGATTAGGAAACTATGTAAGATGGAGTTTAGAGGACTGTTAAATAAACAGCTAAAGGACTGTTAGGAGCCAGACAGGGATAAGAGCCAGGACAAGACAGAGAGAAGTCAGGGAGAAGCATGAAGACATGGAAAAAAGCAAAGATAAGTGTGTCAAGAGCAACCTATGTCAGACAGACCTGGGTTATTAGCTGTGTGACCTCAGGGAAATTTCTTTCTGTTTCTGAACCTTGGTTATCTCCAAAATTGTGAATAATACTATCATTCCCCCAGGACTATGGCAAAGATTAAATTAGGTAATGTAGGTGAGCACTGTGGCACAGAGGAAAACAGGATTCCTACTTTTAAGAAGATAGTAGTACTTTTACTGAAATTAAAATAGAATAATACAGGGACTTTGCTGGTGGCACGGTGGTTAAGAATCCACCTGCCAATGCAGGGGACACGGCTCCAGCCCTGGTCCGGGAAGATCCCACATTCTGTGGAGCAACTAAGCCCGTGCGCCACAACTACTGAGCATGCACTCCAGAGCCCGTGAGCCACAACTACTGAAGCCCGCGTGCCTACAGCCTGTGCTCCACAACAAGAGAAGCCACCGCAATGAGAAGCCTGTACACCGTGACGAAGAGTAGCCCTGCTCGCCGCAACTAGAGAAAGCCCACATGCAGCAACGAAGCCCAATGCAGCCAAAAATAAAATAAATTTATGTATATTAAAAAAAAAAATAGAATAATACATACCTAGGAAGGATTTTACACAATTCACACTGAGAAACAGAGGGGGACAGGGTAGGTACAACAGGTAAAGGCACTACAGAAAGAGGAAACGCTTTCCTGGGGAAGAGAATGCAGTCTAATCTTACAGATAAAGCAAAGGGAATATTTTATTTGACAAGAAATTTTTATTTATGTTAAGTTAGTTCCTTATAATTTTTTTTTAAAGATTTTTTTGATGTGGACCATTTTTAAAGTCTTTACTGAATTTGTTACAATATTGCTTCTGTTTTATGTTTTGCTGTTTTGGCCGAGAGACATGGGGGACCTTAATTCCTCGACCAGGGATCGAACCCGCACTCCCTGCATTGGAAGGCGAAGTCTTAACCAGTGGACTGCCAGGGAAGTCCCGGTTCCTTATAATTAGGTGTGTATTCCTAAAGATCAGCGCTAAATGCTTTAAGATTAGGTAAGAGAAAAAAAGGAGGGGGGCTTTCTCACATATTTTATTTATAGCTTTGTAACTATTCTGGCAACAATTCATATTACATAAAAAATAAAGATTTTTAAAAATGCAAGTCTTTCTTTGATTTTTGAAAACAAACCTGCCAGTTAGATTTTGGACACAGAGAGTCAGGTAAATAAATCCAAGGAAGCAAACTGTTAAAAAGATTATGTGGTCCTACTAATAACCAAAGTCGAAACAACCTTAACAATGTTAAAAAGTTACAATTTTATTAAAGAGAATTGGCTGTCACTTGCAATAATCTGGAATTTACTATAGAGACTCAGAAGTGCATGAAATACTAAAAGTCTTTACCTCTCTTACTGGTTATTTAGCATTACCTCTGCTATTTTTTTTTTTTTTTTTTTTTTTGCAGTACGCGGGCCTCTCACTGTTGTGGCCTCGCCCATTGCGGAGCACAGGCTCCAGACGCGCAGGCTCAGCGGCCAATGGCTCACGGGCCCTGCCGCTCCACGGCATGTGGGATCTTCCCGGACCGGGGCACACAGCCATGTCCCCTGCATCGGCAGGTGGACTCTCAACCACTGCGCCACCAGGGAAGCCCTACCTCTGCTTTTTAATAAGCAATAGCTATGACATTGCACAGTTAAAATAATATAAAGCTGGTTACAAATTCATGGTAATTAAGGTGAGAACATATATAAATGAAAACTATACTAATGTTATGTACAACCCTTGCTATGACATTAATGAAATAATCTAATTGACAACATATTCATGCTTGCTTGGAAGCTGAATTTATAAAGCCTATTTGCAAATAATTATGTCATTTCTTACCAAAACAGTCTCCTAACAAGGTGATGCACTAACAGAAACAAGATAGTTGTGAAAAGTTCCTCAATAATTCCTGATACTGAATCTACTTAGAAAAAAAGTATATTTTAGTTTCATTACATGAAACTAAAAAGGCTGCATAAATATCACCAATATGCAAATAAAAAATAATCCCAATATTAAAAGCAAACAAGGAAAGAATGCTGACAAGAAATGGAAAGAAAAAAATAATTCCTAATAAGCAAACAAGGCAGTCTACTTCTGGGACTGTAACAATGAATTATATACTTAGACAATCCATGATGAAAGAAAACAAAAGCTATGATTCAGATTTCCTGAATTGTGAAATATTTCCAGGTCAAGAAATTCCACATCGCTATGTCTTAATTTACAGATGTTATTCAAAATCAATTAGTTTTTTTTTTTTTCCACTTCTAATTTTCAGGAGTATTCTTTCATTTTAAAATTATGTCATGGTTAGGGATTCGGGGAATTACCTATTCTTATCTCAACTATTGGTTCCTTCCTTACATTCATTTTCTTTACTCCTCTCACAGATGTGGACATTCTCTCTTACAGTATTTCTATGAAAATTCATGCCCTACTCTTAAAGTGGGTGCTGCAAACGGCAGAGCCAAGTGCCCTGTCCAAAGAGTCCTGACACATAGGAGCCATCGAGAAATTGTGGAATTAAACTCATAAAAAATTTTTCTCGGGCTTCCCTGGTGGCACAGTGGTTGAGAGTCCGCCTGCCGATGCAGGGGACACGGGTTCGTGCCCCGGTCCAGGAAGATCCCACACGTGGAACGGCTGGGCCCGTGAGCCATGGCCGCTGAGCCTGTGCTCCACAATGGGAGAGGCCACAACAGTGAGAGGCCCGTGCACCGCAAAAAAAAAAAAAAATTTTTTTTCTCAATTAAAAAATATTCAAACCAAAAAATTTTTTAAATACAAAAAACAAGCAAGAAATGGAAAATTTACCTATAAAGCTACTTAGAGGAAACCACAATCAACCTTCTTCCTTCTAGTCATTTCATGGTAAATAGCACAATTTATTTAACCAGTCTTTTGCAATTGGACATTTAGGGTTTTCCAATTTTGTTTTATTATGAATATTACTAAGAACATCTGTATATAAATCTTCATCTAATTATTATCAGAAACTGAATTACTGAATCAAAGCTATGAACATTTTTAAAGCTCTTACTAAAAGGCCCAAATGCTTTATAGAAAGGTCGCATCATTTTATGTTCCCACAGCAATCTGAGCTTATTATCTCTCTTGTGTTATCAATTCAGAAACTGACTATTCTAACAACCTGTGGTGAAACAAACAATATTCCATTTAAAACTGTGTATCCTTGATTATTATTATTATTTTAATTTTTGGCGTTGCTGCACAGATTGCGGGATCTTAGTTCCCCATCCAGGGATTGAATCCGGGCCCATGGCAGTGAAAGCACTGAGTCCTAACCACTGAACAGCCAGGGAATTCCTTATCCTTGATTATTATTGATTCAGAACATCTGATTCATGTTCTCTGCCTGTTTTTCTACTGAACGTCTAGTGGTGTGTGTGTGCGTGTGTGTGTGTGTAGCAAAAGGGATTGTCTGAATTCATTTGGAATGATTTAGTGCCAAGAAATAACACACATTCTCAAAAATGCAAAGTAGCCAGCCTAAATTGTAAAATGACAAATTCGTTCTCTCTGCAAGATAGGGTCCAGTAGAAAACCGTAAAATACTTTGTTTTTTTGGGTATGTATATAATTATTTATATAAAATATAATTTATAAAATTATTAGCATTATGTTTAGAAGAGATAACCAGTTTAATATTAACTCCCAAAGGGCAGCATTTTATTCATATTTGTATTCACAGCCAACAGCCTCCTGCTGCCACAAAGGAGACAATAAATGCTTGCTAACAACAACAAAAAATTCCCTCTGAGTTTAAGTAAAACAATTTTTATTAGATCTTTCATTTTGGGAGGTCCTAATATAAAGAAATAATGCTTGAAAATTTAATTGCTCCTGGCTACCTCAATTTCCTGCCTCCTGCTGTAAGCAAAGATAGAATCCAACTGGAGTAACCAATTTTCACTTCCTGAAGGAAACATTATAGAGATGAGATATTGATTTAGATGCCTGACACTTGAATATAGCTGGGTGAAATGTGACACGAACAAGCTAAAGTCAGTTGCAATCACAGTGTTCTCTGGCTTTTCATGACACATGTCACAACTGTGCCACAATGTGTTCAAAATGAGACCCTGTTAAAGGAGATACATGTATTCCAGACCAAACACCCAAGGTTTTCTGGAAATGGAACTCAGGGCATTACCTCCTGAGGAACTACCCCTGTGAACTATTTTCTGCCTTCTGGTCCTCCATTCCTTTCTCTTTTCCTCAGTGCCTTCATGCAGCCTTCCTGTCATCCAAAACTGTCCCCAACCTCTTCAGTGTGGGCTGGTTCCTCTAATATTTTCCTTAATTCAATTCTCATTTGTGAGAACAAGCCTATTCTTACAGTGTTTGCCATGCTGCTGTCATACTACAGTATGCTCTATATTAAAAGAATCTTGCTATTTTAAAGTTATGATATTTTATAACCCTCAAGGAGAACAGTTCACCCAAAAAGGAATGAGTAATAAACTTTATAGAAATGAGAGACATTATGAATACAGCTCAGGATGTTTCAATCCTCCGTGAGCCCCAAATTAAATGAAGAATAAACATGTTTCCCTGAATTGAAAATAAAAACTCATGAAGAAGAGCATTTTCTGATCAGGAAATTCTTGAGATCTTTAATTAAAAGATGAGAGCTGACATCCACCTTGTTCCAAGTTGCCTTCTAATTAATTGCCTTGCTATTACTGCTACACTGTGCTCCACCTTCAACCCCAAATAACTAACACAGCTAAAAGAGAGATCTTCCTAAAAGATCTTACCACAAATCTTACCACATCATATGCCTTTGATAGCTCCCTATTATGACATGGTGAAGTCCATATCTTTAGCAGAATATTCAAAATCCTTCACTTACCTATCTATCATGCTTCAACTTTAGGTGTGCACTGAGAAACACAGTCTACTCAAAACTACCAAGCTTGCTCCTGCCTTTGTACGCATCAAAACATTTATCACCCTGTAATGGACTACTTGCCTAGTTTTCCCTTTTAGATGATCAACTCATGCAGGGCAAGAAACTTGTTCTACTTTCAATATTTCTGTCTCTGGATATTGTGCCTATTTTATAATAAATGTGTGAAGAATAAAGGGTTCCTACTATGAATTCCTTAAAGGCAGGGACTACCTCTTCCCAGCTCTATAATTATCATCTGGAACAGTGCCAAAAACTCTCAGGAGCCCCAAATTAAGTATTTTCTTTGAATATGTTTTCTTCCCCCCTCCACTGATTTACTGTCTTAATTCAACAAATACTGAGTGACTAGTATGTGCTAAGTACTGTATTTGATTAAAACGTTTGTGATTACTTTAGAAAGCAGATAATATAAAATATACACAGATATAATATATACTAGAGTAATTCCAAGTCATGACCCTGTATTCATTTTATCAGTATTTTACAGGCCTTAATTTGCATTTAAGTTCCTGAAGTTTTACTCAGTTTTGGTGACATTTCATTTTGAAAATAGAAATAAATTTGATTAAAAAGGTCAGCTTTAGAATTCAGGAGGGAATAAATAGTGCAATAAGAGAAAGATGATTTAAAAGGCAAAAAAACAGGGCTTCCCTGGTGGCACCGTGGTTAAGAATCCACCAGCCAATGCAGGAGATATGGGTTCAAGCCCTGGTCCAGGAAGATCCCATATGCCACGGAGCAACTAAGCCCGTGTACCACAACTACTGAGCGTGCACTCTAGAGCCCGCGAGCCACAACTACTGAGCCCGCGTGCCACAACTACTGAAGCCCGTGTGCCTAGAGCCTGTGCTCCACAACAAGAGAAGCCACCGCAATGAGAAGCCCACACACTGCAACAAAGAGTAGCCCCCGCTCGCCGCAACTAGAGAAAGCCCACATGCAGCAACAAAGACCCAATGCAGCCAAAAATAAATAAATAAATATTTTTAAAAAAGACAAAAAAATAGTATCAGTGAATATGTCCCAAGTTTTAAGGTGTCCAAATTTGTAGATCAAGGGACTGATATTGGACCAAAAATATACAAAAAAAGATTTCATAGAATAAAATGAGCAATCTTTTCTAAAATTCAAAACAAGGCTAATGGAAGAATACATAATCTAACAATGGTAACTTCTTGGAAGTGATGAGGAGACATTTAGAATTTACTCTTACTTATTTATGGATTGCTTGTAGATTTTATGATGCAATAGTTGTATAAAAGACAAAACTGACCCAAAACTTCCCTTCTCCCACAAAAATCTTTACAGTCAATAGGAAAATGCCTACATGACTAAGATTGCTGTTACCTACCTAAACAGTTTTGGAGGCAAGATACTAAATCGTGTTTTATCCAAAATTTTCCTGATTTTGTTTCTTCCACCTGAAACAGTATTTGCTTTTATTTTCTTGTTTCCTTTCTCCTGTGATGTCTGTTCAATATCTCCTGGTACATCCTGGATTGAGTGGCGATTACTTTTTTTTTCAGCAATTTTGGGAATATGAGGAACACCAGATTTCTCTTGTTCGGTCCTAGTAAGTAACTCTTTGAACACTGTAGAAATAAATAAATAAAACTGTCATTTCTTTTCTTCTCATTAGAAAGTTTTTATATCCACAACAAATTTAAAAAATAAACATAGTTGCTTTCTATCACTGGGCCTTTCACAGCCTCACCCATTAAAACTTATTTCATTACAAAATTTATACTCACCCTCTATTAATCAGCTATATCCATTTTTCAGCTTTTATACCTGACTGTACTTATGATGTTGTCCAACAGTGATAAAAGAAATTCATTGGGGAAAACAAAAATGAAGCAGGCAGATTGCCAGAATGTTTCAAAAGCCCAAGGTTCCTATTTAGGTAATAAGCAGTATAATATAATTGCTAATCAACCCAGACTTTATAGAAATAGATATTTAGATTCTATTATTTATATGTTATCCCTTATCATTTGAGATGAGATGTAGGTACTATAAGCCAGGCCCTGTTTTGTAAAATTTAGCCATCAACAAAATGGGAAGAGCTCTGCTGGACCTGCTTTTACCAGAAACAAACAGTACTAAATTTTGTAATATATGACATTTTCCTCAAGGTAACATCTGTGAGACTTAATTCTGTAGAGTGAAAGCTACTAAGCATTCACTACAGCGGCCTGAAGTAAAAAACCAAGCATTTGTAGATAACTTTCTATCAATCCTAAGTCTAGTGAGTTATACTTCATCCCTAAGGAAAGTACAAGCACAGTGGGGTATTTGCCTTTCCAGCAATCTCTTTGCCTAGATCCAGGCAAGCTTATGAAAAGCACAGTTTCTGGGCTTCCCTGGTGGCGCAGTGGTTGAGAGTCTGCCTGCCAATGCAGGGGACACGGGTTCGTGCCCCGGTCCGGAAAGATCCCACATGCTGCGGAACGGCTGGGCCCATGAGCCATGGCCGCTGAGCCTGCGCATCCGGAGCCTGTGCTCCGCAACAGGAAAGGCCACAACAGTGAGAGGCCCGTGTACCGCAAAAAAAAAAAAAAAAAAGAAAAGCACAGTTTCTGTCTTCAAGATAACGGAAATCCTTGCTTGATTAAAATACAGTAAATTTTTTCAGTCGTCTTAAAAAATTTCCCTTTATTTTAAGCTACGTGGTAAAAATAAAAATGCTTTTTTGAGCTAAAATCAAGATACTCATCCATTCAAAAAATATTTACTGACCTATGAACACGTCAAGCACTATGCTAGATGTTTGCAGATCCCTCCTGTCGTGAAACATAGTCAGTCAAAGATATATGGTATGGAGAGAACATAATGCGAGGAACTAGTTAAGAGAGCAAGAAAGGGAAAATTGTCCTTCATTAAGTCACTGTGTTAAGAAGAGATCAGTAAAGTGAGTTGATTTTAACTAGGCAAAGGGGGAAGAAGTATTAATTCTAGGTACAGGAAATCTCAAGTTTAAAGTACCTGTGGTAGAAGGAAAATTCAAGAAAATGAAGATGACTGAAGAACAAGGTAGAGAAAGGGTTTGATAATGCTATGGTAAGGTGTCTGAATTTTCTGTTAAGAGCAACAGGAAATCTCTGGGCAGCAGATATCCCTGGCTGCAGTGTGTATGTAAGGTGACTCAAGAGTGTAAAAAGTAGTTTGTAACTTCACTGGACTTGTGTATTTAAGTAAAAATCTGCAGAGCTTGTGATTTGTAGATAAAGAAATGATTGTGTTAAACTAAAAAAAAATAGTGAGGGACAAAAATTAATGTCGGTAAGCAAATATAATTACAATACCATTAAACATCAATATCAGATATAATATATGAACCAAAAATGAAGGTGTCCAAGAATTAATAAAAGGAATGTTTAATAAATTTGACTACACAAAGATTAAAGGTTTTTCTCTCTACATATATGTATGTGTGTATATGTATTTACACACACAACCCAAAACAAATGAACAAACAAGGAAAGTCAAAAGACAACTGGGGAAAAAATTTGCAACCCTTAAGACCAAGAGATATTGTTACTTATTTATAAGGCATTCAAACAAATCAATAAAAGATGAATAACTCAACATAAAAATGGACAAATGAAGACTGTTCATAAAGAAGAATGTTAGCACATAAAAAAAGTGCTCAACTTCCTTCATTATTAAAGACTATATCAGAAACTGTAAAGTTGATTATACCCACTGCAGAGGCATTCTTATACATTGATGAATGAAGCGTACATAGATTGGGGAAACTTTGAGAAAGTAAAACCGCAGTAACTATAAAAGTAATTCCACTGTGAGGAATTTATCTTATAGCTATATCTATAAAAACAAAGGATTATTACAAAGGATTATTACATCATTGTAAATAGCAAAAACTATAAACAACCTAAAACAACCATCAATACGACATCAGATCGATAGATTATGATAATAGTGTGATGGAATTCGATGCAATAACAATTACACAAGAAGTACACCTGTATGAACTGCTGTGGAAAGGTATAGAATATTGTACACAATATGGTCCCACTGAGTGTCTTTCTTTAGTATTGTAATTTGCAAAACATGCATGTATTACTTTTATTAAACAATTAAAATGTTAATAATAAAATTATCTGAGTGGTGGGATTTTTAAAGATGTTAGAAAGTTGTGAAAAGTAAGAGGAATGGATGAATAAAAACTCCAGAGCAGGAAGAGGGTAAACTGAGATTGCCAGCTGTTTTCTTCTCTGGGGACATTTGCTGATCTAAATATAAACAGAAGGCAAGGCTCAGGTAGAAGGACTCTACTAGAGGAAAGAGAAGTTTTGATGGCTGCGAGTACTGGCAAGAAAACTGGAATACAGAGAGGCACCAAAGCAGTGTCACTTTTCTTCATGAGATATCTCTATTAGTAAGACAAGGCATGAGGCTGGAAATTTCTTAGAATCTCATGGTACTCAGGAGACAAAGTCACACAACAGGGAGAGACTTCCAACAAACACACAACAGATTTATCTGCTCGGGGTGGGAGGCTAAAGAGCTAAGCTCAAAACCTCTGAAGGGAAAAACTTACAAAAAAAGGAGACAGAAAGGTACCAGATTCTGAATCAAGAGATTGGAGGTGAGGGAGGAGGTAGGAGGACAAGGTTGAATAAGCAGAGTGAAATTTCCCACAATCTCTCAGTGGTTAGAGACAAAGTTCCATTAGAGGAGGGGCCTACATCAAGCACATGACAAGTCTCTCAACTTGAAACCCAATGGACACAGTCTAAGTAATTCTGCAACCCAGCCTGACCCAGCTCAATTCTCCTTACCCTATGTGATTAAACAGAGGAAATGGCAAATCCTATCTGTGAGAAAATACTAATTTCACTACTAAGGTTCCTTTATATGCAAAGTACAGCATACAATAAAAATTTTAAGACTCACAAAGAAAATAGCCAGAGGGAAAAACAGAATAAAAGATAATCCAAATGTTAGAGTTAACACACAAGGATTTTATAATAACCATTATAAATATATTAAAAAACATAGAGGAAAACAGATAAAATGGATGAAAAGATGAAGAAAAAGATGAAGAAGTGCAACAGAGAACTGGAGATTCAAGTGGATATTCCAGAACTGAAAAATATCTAAAATTAAATTCAGTGCATGCATTTATCAGTAGACTGGATACAGCAGAAAATAGGATTACTTTCTTAAACACAGGTTATTACAAAATACCCAAACTGAAAGAAGAAAAAAATGCAAAGAACAGAACAGAATGTAAGAGATAGATGGGATGCAAATCTTCTAACATATAAGTAAATGATTTCCCGCATGGGAGGGATAGAAAAAGGGGCAGTAGTAATTAATAATGGCCATGAAATTTTGAAAACTGATAAGCAAAGAACAATGTACAAATTCAAATGCTGAGCAAACCCCATACAAAATAAATACAAAGAAAACTGTGACAAATCCTTGTTACAGTTAAAATTGCTCTGAGTCGTATTTGCATCCTATGGGAAACGCTGGTATTTTTGTTTAGCCTTCTGCGGATTGTGGTTCCAGTGTTCAATTTTCAAAGCCTCTGCAGTGCTATACAGATGTGTCTACTTTGTACCACCCAGTGGTCACTCTGGGACCTGAGTAGAGGTCTGCTTGGGCCAGTTCTCAAAGTCTATGATATGCTAAATAGGATCAGATTCACACACCTACAGGATGGGGGTGAGCCCAGGATTTCATAAACAACTTTATGGGGTTGTTTTCTCCATCTTAGTTATCAACCTGGTACTTTCTAGTTCCTTAGGCCTCCTTTGTTGGACCTCTAGACAGAAACTGTCCACTGCAGTGCCTTAGGGGCCCAAGTAGAGGGGGACAGAGAGAGTGGGGAAAAAAAGCAGTGACACTGGCTTTGTTTTCTTGGAGCCACTGCTTCACTAAAGGGTGAGGAACATTTTGTCACTCAATGCCACTGGATTGCTTGGAGACTGGGGTCTGAGAATATGGAGAAAACAAGAGTGAAAAAAAAAAAATCTGTGGGAATTCCCCCTCTGTCTGAGCTTTAGGAGTTTCCTTTCCCATTCCTTAAGTCGGGCTGCTTCAGGGTCCTTCTAGGTCTGCACCATAATATTCACATCCAGGTTTCATGCTGCCTTGAGTCCAGTCCAGGGGATACTGGAGTGAAAAAAAAATGGTAAATTTACTTCTGGTGGTGGTACTTTGAATTCTCTGAGTTCTCAAATAGATGGATCATGATTTTTGTTTAAGTTTTATTGTTGAGTTCAGTGGGAAATGAAGGATAGCATGTGTTTACTCCATCTTAACTGGAACTAGAATCCTTAATTTGCTTTTTATCTTCAGGGACATAAGGACGTATCAAATAGCACCTTAAAGTCTGTGTTTGATATTCTGGAGCTCCTACAGTTCTGTTTCTGTTGGTTCTGGCTTAAAATGATTTTTAAGAGGGCCTCACAATGTTTGATTGTTTGACTCCGTATTTGGAAACTTATTTTTACAAATAATAGGCTGCTGCTAGCATCTTCTAAAGAGGATTTCTATTTTCTTTTGCCAGGTACTGGAGACCTAGGGCCAGGTCAAAACTTGAGGTTCTTCTGAGTTGCCTAGAGTACAGTCCACATTCTCTTTGGAGTTAGACACTCAAGTTCTCAATCAAGAACAAATGTTGTTATGCTAGAGTGTTCTGGCCTTTGGTAGGCTCTACACTACGAACCTTCTCTCAGCAGCTCCTTCTCTCAGCTACGTCTATGGATGGGAAAATAGCCCTGGGAAAGAAACCATCCTTTTGAGGGGTACAGTCTCAGGATGAGTGGTAAAGGATTTGACACATCCAGAGTTTGTGCTTTTAACAAGTGCAGGATTCCAACTCTTTCACCTTTTCCTGGGAGCCTATTACCAAAAAATCTCAGTCTCTCAGTTGCTTTTTCTGTACTGGTAAATGCTCCAGGGCAGATATGGCTCCAGTTTACCTCTTTAAGGTCTAACTTCTCTGTTCAGTGGCAGGTAGCTCTTCACTAGCCAGCTCCGTTGTTCTCAGTCAATACTAGAAACAGAAGACAAGTTTTTTAAACTACTTTTGCTCAGATTATAGGTGGTCCTTTGAATTGGGAGTCACATCTTTCTTTCATTCTGGAGTGGCCTCTGCCACTGTTTCCTAAATACTTTCTTCTTCACTTTTTCTTTTAGATCTCTTGGAATAGTGCTCAATTGCATTTTGGCTTTTTTTGCTCTATAAAGTTGATTTTCTCAAGTTACCTATTCCTTCTACTGTATGTTTCTGTCTTTTCTACTAAAATATGTCTTTGCATATTTAAAATAACCCCAAGAAGTATTTTTCTCAGTGACTGTCTTTTTTCCAAATATCCTGTTCTTGTTTTAAGGAATGAATTTTTAAATCTCTTTGTGCAGAGTTCTAGAAATGGTTTTCTTCTCCTCCTCAAATTAACTATTTTCTCCAAAATCTGTAAGCTCACTTACTAGGTTCTTTACCATTACCCCTCAAAAATCCTGGTTCTCTTATAACTGGTGATCCCTTGCTGTCAGTTCTAATTAACACAAGATGACCAAGTACCTAGTATCATCTAAACAAATCTGTTTTCTGGTCACAGCTTGTCTTTTTGTAGGTGTTCTGACTGTGAATTCCATGCAGGATGACCTAATCGCTCAACTTTGCTTCATGATAATGCCAGAGTTACTGGAACTTTATTCCAGGCACCACATCCAGACTAAAATGCTCCATTTCAACAAATTTTCTACTAATATTTCTTTGAGATACTCTTTGGTGTTTTTTGCATGGGGAGAATGTTGGCTGATTATACTCTGGCTGGGGCAAGGAAGGAGGTCTTGAGGGTACGGGCCCCCTTCTGTAGCACCACGTAACTCCCACACTCTGCAACATCCAATCTAGGGTTCTGCTGGGCAATTGCTTCTCACCATCCAAAGAGTTCGGAGGTTGTGGTTTCTCTTCCTCTTGCAGCCTTCAGATCAATTTTGTCTCCCAGGGTCCATGTTGTTAACCACTACATTATACTACCTCTATGTTTTTATACACAACCACATTTGATACTACTTAGTAATTATTATGTGCCAGGAACAAAAAAATTTAAAGGTACTTCCCTGGTGGCGCACTGGTAAAGAATCCACCTGCCAACGCAGGGGACATGGGTTCGAGCCCTGGTTCAGGAAGATCACACATGCCACAGAGCAACAAAGCCCGTGTGCCACAATTACTGAGCCTGTGCTCTAGAGGCCGCAAGCCACAACTACTGAGCCCGCGTGCCACAACTACTGAAGCCTGCGCACCTAGAGCCTGTGTTTCACAACAAGAGAAGCCACTGCAATGAGAAGCCTGCGCACTGCAACGAAGAGTAGCCCCTGCTCGCTGGAACCAGAGAAATCCCATGCACAGCAATGAAGACCCAACACAGCCAACAAATAATAATAAAAAAAAGAACCCTATGAAACAGAGCTGGAAAAACTGAATAGAGAGACTAAACAATATGCTTTAAGTGTCAGAGCAACCTCTGCTTTCATATTTTTCAAAATCAGAATCCTTTTATTTTAACCCAAAAGTTGATATTTCGAGATACTAGTCCAAAGTCTAGGAAATCCGAAAACTGTTAAGGCTTACTTATTCTATGCTAAACTTATATAATATTTGGAAATTGCCACTGTTATATGCCAGATTTAGCATGATGTAATTCAGTGAAAGGGACTCAAGGGAAAAGAGTGAAAAACCAAATGTTTCATTTTTCATTATGACTAAGTGCAGGATAAGGAGGAGTCAAAGTGGGGGGGAAACACACACACACACACGTCCTTTTCCATAGGCACAGTTTTAAAATTCAACTCTTATTCCTCAAATTTCAACCTAAATGATGTAGAGAAATTTTTTTCCTTCCTACTTTATAAGGACTCTTAAATTTTCTTTGATAGTTTTTAATTGCTACACTTTTTTTTACTGTTGCCCTTCTCAGAATTTCAGGGAAAATCCTATGAAATCTAATCAAACTAAGTCACAGTCTTCCAAAAGTTAGAAAAAAAAAACAAAAAACAAAAACCCAAATAGTAGATTAAGTTAAAAGTACAAGCTTAGTTCTTGCTTCATTCAAACAGTAACATGATCAAAACATACTATAGGAACAGTAATCAATATTTTTACAAAGAAAGGTATACTATTATTAAAAATCGGCAATTCACTGATTAATTAATTCAGTATTTTACTCAATTTATTTCCATGAAACAGCTAATCTGGCATTCATATTATTATTTCAGGAAGCTAGCTAAAACATTAGAAGTAGACTGATTTGCACATTAGCAGGGAGAAAAAAAGCCTGACTATGACTTCTCAGTTTCATTCAGATCAATCTAAGTTTCATTCAGTATCTCCAGGCAAAGTACAGTACATAATAGATACTCAGTAGACATTTCATAAATGACTAAATGTAGTTGTACACCTATTTTAAAACTAAGATTTCAAAATAATTAAATACAAATAAAAATTCTAGAATATAGAATACTATATCTCAGCACTAAAGATCCTAAAAATGTTCAAAAAGCTTAGAAACGTTTTAAGTATTTTTACTATCCTCCCTTTCACTGTAGTGATTCTTTTCTTTTGTATCACCAAACAAAAGGGCTCAGATAGTTTTTGACAACAAAACTCACCAAAAATGTTGGTCTTCACAGTAAGTGCAAGATGAGTATTATTCCTCAAAATTTCAAGGGCCTTCACAAACGTTATATTCTCAAAGTTTTGTCCATTTACTTCCATTATCTTGAGAAAAGTGTTTGAAAAAATACAAATTAAGACAAAAACAGTATTAGTTATTTCTGCAATCTTAAGTTTAATGGTGAAAAAATAAAACTTAAATAAAATGCACCTGTGTGTGAACAATGGTTATCTCTGTGAGTAGTGGAATTACTACCTAATTTTTTTTCTCTGTATTGTGGTATTTTCCTAAATCTCTACTATAAACATTTTTTTTTAAAGTTCACTCCCGGGCTTCCCTGGGGGCACAGTGGTTGAGAGTCCGCCTGCCGTTGCAGGGGACATGGGTTCGT